TGAAACGAAACCACGTGATAATTGATCTAGTGGTAAAACAAGTCACTTTTATTTTAACTAGACACGACAGATGCACGCTATTGATTTTGTGTCTCTCGCACACACACACACACACACACACACGCACACACACGTAACTTCGAACTGTTAAAAATACACAGCATTTGACAGCAGCTCTATGCTGAAGTAAGCTGCAAAAAGAATCAGTATCGCAGAAGGAAAAGAGGCAACAATTATTTCTTTACATATCTTTTTTTAAGAGAGAGAGAGAGAGAGAGAGAGAGAGAGAGAGAGAGAGAAAGGGAAGAGACTTTACATAACGTGAAACAAATTCAAAAGCAACCGAGATCACCTATGAATGTAATTAAGAATTTTTTACGAATTGCAATCGATTTTTCAAAACTCGATTTCTCTTTCTTTTTAAAAATTCGCGTTCAAAATTTCTAGGCATTACAATCTCGTTGTAATTATGTCAATTGTACCACACCACGACTTACATCTGATTCTTCCCTAGCTTCTCATATTGTTCAAAAAAAAAAAAAAGCAAATCCTCCATTCGGATCGTCGTCGAAAGCCACAAAGTTATTTCACCGAATCCTTCAAACACGTCGTTCATTAATTGGCATTAATCCCGCGTGGATCATTAGCCATCGTTCGCCTCGCTCATCGATAACTTTCCGCATCGGAAGCGGATGCAAAAAGCCGCGCACGATTATCCCGTGGTATACCGTCTGCCGCGAACGTTGCGTCTTCTTGCCGGCGGAAGACGTAATAAAAATGACGGGCGCGCGCTCGCTGGTGATGAGAAAAAAAAAAAAAAAAAAAAAAAGAAAAAACATGACACGGTCCAGCGACGTCCGACTTCGCTCTCCTGTCATCTATCAAGCAACCTTGACAATATATCGCGCTGATATCCATTATTCGTGCCGCTAAGGAAATCGGCACAATGTCGACGAGTTCGAATGTTTCCGAAACGACGCGCGAAAAATTGTTGGAGCTTCCGTTGCCGTAGATCAGGAGGTCTCTTTCTCGAGATTTTCCTCGCGATATTACGCGAGAAAACGCGACGATCAGTCTCGCGGAGAGAATCTTGAATCACTTATTAAAATTTTTTTGTTCCTCGAGTTTATTTCCGCCTGTTCGATCTGTCGTTCCCCGCAAACTTTGTAATCTCTCTCGAGCGCGCGATTCAACGTCAATCGTCGCGATGTCGCATTTGACTCCCGTCGCGCGACAAGAGTCTTCTTTCGCCACGGGATGTCGTCACGGCGAGTTTCTTCGGGAATCATTTTCTGCCTCCTCTGACCAATCGCGAAGTAAAACTCGCGAATAAGGGGACAATCTGTCCCGACGACGTGTTTTCTTGCGCGAAGTTCGAAATGCCATTCGAGAAATGCCGAGAGTGACGAGAACAACTCCGTGTTTGTTTGTTTTCTCTCCCGCAAAATTTTTCTGTCACAAGGACAACCGGTCCTTTGTGCGCGCGCGTCCGATCAAAATTTCGATTTTCTTCTAACGAGAAGTTAAGCGGCGCGTGTCGACTTCTGTGCACGTGTGTGTGCGCGCGCGCGCGCGCGACTGACCGCGTGTTTTTTTTTCTGTAATTATACGGCTAGCATAATTAAAGCGTAATTTTTCTCATTTCGCGCGCATTCGTCGCATCACACGGACTATGACGGAGTTATGCGGAGTTCGGATTCGTTTCTGATTCAGCGCGCCGCGATTTCTTTTTCGGCGGCCGCGTCTAATCCGGTTCTCCTTGCGAGAATCGTAAGCGCGCGTCTCGCCGTTTTTCTCCGGGCCTCCGCACAGACCTCGAAGATCTGGGCTAATTCTCGTCACAATAATCGTAAAACATATATATCCAAGGATAGAAAAACGACGATAATCCTCGTGTCGTCGTCATCGTCGTCGTTGTCGTCGTCTTCGTCGTCGTCGTCGGTGCCGCGACAGGATTCCTCGATACGGACCTTGATATATGAAAGTTCCGCCGACTTTCAATTCCGTCGACTCGCTGTTTTTTGTGTATAGGTTTTTTTTTGCCGATACGTAATGAGAATATCGGAGAGTATAGAAAAAAGATAAAATTTACATTAAAAAAAACGTGGAGAAAAAACATCAGAGAAGTGGAATAACTTGTATATATACCTGCGAAACGCGCGGTATCGCGACTTTATTTGACGTGTCTTCCAATCGGAGAAAACAAATATTACAAAAATACAAATATACAAATATTGTTTTTATCGGTGTTGGTGTTTTTGTGCAATACGTTTCTGCGTTGTTTTTTTTTTTATTCTTTTTTGTCTTCTATTTGTTTGGCTACAATCTACCTTTTCGAGCAGATACTTTAGTTTTTCGTCATCCGTCGACCTTTCTTTGCCGAGATCGATAACGCAACTCGTTTCAATTTAAATTTAGATCCAATTTTAGGTCGAACAATTTCGAATATATTTGAATTTTTTTTCAACATTTTTTCAAACTTTTCTCTTTGTTATCGCTTTTCTATGGTCGGGGAGAGCATAACCGGACCGGTCGCGCACGGAGAATGTGCGGGCTCCGCGTCGCGTCCGACGACGACCCCGAGTGTACGCGCCCCGGCCGCGCGCGAGTCTTCGGGGGTTTCGCCGAGGTGGGATCAGGTTTTTCTCACCGTCGGCGACGCGCCTCTCCGCCTCCGGAGCGGCGTTCGCGTTCCCAGCCTACAAAAACGTTACCACCCCGTGCCAAAAAAGTCGTTATGTAAATGTGCCGCGAGAGCGCACGGCCGGCCTGTGCCGCTGGCGCGTTTCGCCGCCACAGGTATACAGAGTGAGTTGCCGCGCGCAACTCGATCGCCCTGTGACGATTTCCAGTTTGGAAGGACCGACGATTGTGAAAACTGGACGAGAAAAAGCGTCGAAATCACATCCCGAGGTTTTCAAGTCCAATTTCGTTCGATAAACACGTTCCGCCAAAATCCGCTGCGAAATCTGATCCGCCAGCGGCCTCGAAGTTGGCGCGTAAAAAAAAACAAAAAAAAAAAACAAAAACAAAAAAGAGATCGCGCACTTACGTCTGCGTCCGATTTGATGACACAGCAAATCACGATTTACGTGGTAATTAATTAATGTACTGGTTTAAATGATATTCGATGAAACGCGCGGTGTGTATAAATAAATAGTCGCAAGTTTATCCCGCGTCCGATTTTCGAATTAGGTCGAGTAAATAAGTAATACTATGGGGATGAATTATTAATAAGTTCGCGGTTAATGCGGCGTGCGAAGTTGATGATGATGAGCGCGGACGATTGGCGCGTGGTTTTATTTTTTAACAAAAGCACGATCGAGGTGTTGTCGCGCGCGAATGGATGACAGGCTCGGATAGATGGTCAACAACGTGTATATCACATACGCGAGGTTATTATTAATAAAGTTGTGAAAACGAGAATAAGATGTGTCAGCGGCGACGATATTAATAAATCGCGGGCGGCGGTAATATAATGGGGGCGCGAATCGCGCGACTTTGCGAAAATCAAAACGAGAGAGAGGGTGGATAAATTTTCACATTCGCTTTGTTGGAACATTTCATAATGCGAAATAATTGAAACTCTGTCCGAATAAATAACAAACAAAAAGACGATGCGACACATGAAGGTGATATCCAGCGAACAAAAATTAAAAATTACCGGCGCGAAAACTTCGAACCGATGCGAACGTAGGTATATACATCCGTTTTCTGCGTTGCGTTCCTCGCAATCACAGATATTCTCGTCGCGAAACGTAGTTTCCTCTACCGCACTGATGACCATCTCTTCTTCTTCTTCTTCTTCATCATACGCTCTTTCTCGTCGCTCCGATTCTGCTGACCCGCGCGCGACTCCGAGTGTGCTTCCACGTAGATCCTTTTTTCGCGGGTCGCGGTTTGCGCTAGAAAAATCTCGCGGAACGAGTCGCCGAACCACCCCCCGTCGCCGCCGCCGCCGCCGCCGCCGTCATCGTCGGCGGGGACCTATTCGCGAATCCAAGAGGCCGCGCCGCACGAGCGTGAGACCGAGACCCGGGCTCGTAATAAGACCCGCCGGCCAGTTTTTTTTTGCACCTTCTGTCTCTCTCCGTCTTTCTCTCTCTCCGTCCTCTCCGGCTCTTTCTTCGGCCTTACCCTGCGTTTCTCTGCCCTCCTTTACCCTTCTCTCTCTCCAATGGCGGCACCGGTATTAATTTATACGCGGTACGTGTGTGCACGCCGCTTTTTCTCGCAGTTCCTCGAAATTTGCAAGAAACTAGTCGGACACAGCGGCGACTCCTCGCCGCTAAACTCGCGCGCGCGATCTTGTCGGCGCGACAACGTGCGACGACCAAGACGACAACGGCCTGGAAAGGCGAGGGGGTGACGATCGCGATGAGGGTAGGGCAATCGATGACGTGGAAAAAAAACAAAATTGATCTCTTCCCTCGATTACAATCAAAAACTTATTCTTTCGTCAAAATATGTGAAATATAATATAATATTTTATACAAAAGAAGAATATTGCGTAATTAATCCTTAAACAATGACACTACACACACGTGTCCTTTTTCGTCCGTGCAATATTTTGATTATCGTACGTTAATTTTTCTTTTCGAAGAGAAATTATGAGAATAATAAACCGAACCAGTTTATAATTCTCGCGCACGTGAACTTGATAAAAAAAAAGCGTCTTATTGGTGTAAAAAAAAATATAAATACCGCGAAACATCGCTCTTTCAATTTATACATCTTCTGCGGAACATCGTCGACTTTTACAGCTGTCGAGCTGTCTAATAAAGATCGTAATTTATTGCCGACCGTGAACGAGAAGGATAGATAGAAAAGAAAAAAGAAAAGACCGGAGAGACCGATTCGCGATAACGACCAATACTGTTGGTTGTTGGCGACGCGCGCGTCTGTCACGGAACTGATGACAATTATTCCCATCGTTAGTAATAGCGTCGCGGTTTGTACTTTCTTCACGAATCCCCGTAACGATTTTGTACAACTTGCAGTGGTGCAGACATCCGTGCCGCAAAACGAGGCCGAGCTGCAGCTGTACAGAGTGATGCAGCGCGCTTCGCTGCTGGGATACTACGACACGCTTCTCGAGATGGGTAAGGCGCGCAGCTTTCTTGTTGAGTTTTAAATAAAAGTTTTTCTTTTTTGTCTTCGTAGTCAAATATAAACGTTTGGTAAAAAGTTTTGAATTAAAAAACTAAATTATTGAATTAAATAATTTTCCGAACTGAAGTTTTAATTTGCGAATCTTTAATTTATCTCTTTCCTCATCTCTCCTCCATGTACGTGTCAGAGAACAATTTAGATTTTTTCACTACTGTATAGCTTTTCCGCATTTAAAAATAAACTTTAGAATCTAAAAATTGCGCGTGCGTGTGTATGAGTTCGTCGTAAAATTTTATAGAAGTTGTAAATAACAATACTCTCAAATGTCAAAAGTAACAAATCAATCCTCTGAATATGTCGGTGATATAACATGACGTAAATTATTTTATTTACAGGAGGCGATGATGTGCAACAACTGTGCGATGCGGGTGAAGAGGAGTTTCTGGAGATTATGGCGTTGGTCGGCATGGCGAGCAAGCCGCTTCACGTCAGAAGGTTGCAGAAAGCACTGCAGGAGTGGCTCACTAATCCTTGTAAAGTACCACTTGTTCGCGTCGCAGTATGATAAATTTGTTTTATTACACACAGAAATATATGCGTTTGATTATGAAAAAAAAAAACTTGTCGATTGCAAAGTTTTACTATTAATTTTTGTTTTATCTCAATCGCGTAAGTTTTACATCAAGTGTGAATTTCGCGTCTCGCAGCGTTGTTCCAAACGCCGGTCGTGCCGACAAACGCCGCCGCGAAAACTCCAGCGGCCGCCGCCGTAGGTTTCGCGTGCGCGAGTCCGCGGCCGCAGATGCAGAGTCTACCTACCGGCTTTACCGCGACCTCTCAGACTTCACTGACGCCGACTCCCTACGTGTCGACGACGCCTCACGTGCCCTTGACGCCACTACCCTGTCGGAGCGCCAGTCCTGTTGTGCCGGTCACCAGCGTGTCCACCTCGGCGCCTTCCACGACTTTCCGCCAGAGCCCGAGCCCGAACACGTCCTTACCTTACACTACTACACACAGTCCCAGTATGTTGCAGGTACAAATCATCTTCATTGCTTAATCGTTTTAGTTTGTGTTTTATTATATATATATTTTTTTCAATGTTTCTTGTTACTCATATGTATTGCATATTTATGTAAATATACATTGTCACATCAATAGGTAGGTACGTGCGAGTCTTCGTGCGGCAGCGGCACGACGCCAAGCCCGAGCGGCGTCGGCGCACCTGCGAGTCCACCGCAGTCGACGCCAACCCTCCTGCAGTCGCAGGTGCAGCGGCTCGCCGAGGCCGCGGAGAGGCTCGTCGCTACCATAAGGCCCCTCGATCCTAAGCCTCATAATGTGAAGAAAAAACTCTGCAAGAACCTGGAGGTGAATCGTTAATTTCAAACTGGCGCGCGATGACGTGCTCTGAAGCGTGTCCGAAATACAAAGGAGACTTTCAAGTTTGTAGACCGTCTACAAGCATGATCGCGTCTGATTTCGACATTAAACATTACCCAGATATCGTTTTTTTTTTTTTTTTTTTAAGAACAAAACAAAGTGTATAATTTTTTTTTTATTTTATGCAACATGGCAAAAACTTAAAATCGAGCAATCTTTTGTTAAAAATTCTTGTTTTTCGCCGATTTCTCAACTTCGTTTACTTTGTTTTTTCGTTACAGATGGTGATGACAATGTCCGATAGCGATCCGCGCAAAATGGACGAGATCCGAAAATACGCGGCGATTTACGGCAGGTTCGATTGCAAGAGAAAGCCGGAGAAGCCTCTCACGTTGCACGAGGTGTCTGTGAACGAGGCGGCCGCGCAAATCTGCAGATTCGTGCCGGCCCTTCTCACGCGAAGGGACGAATTGTTCCCTTTGGCACGTCGTGTCGTCCGAGATTCCGGTTACCATTACTCCAAGAGTCAATAGTAAGTGCGGAAGACGCGAAAAGTGCCATTTAAAAAAAAAAGTACTTTAGAATTTGTATAAGAGAATATGACAGAGATTGTAACTCCACGTAAAAATCTGTAAATACACAAATCTGGCTGTGCGTGTAACTGTGTAAATAAAAAAAAAATAAATAAATAAAGATACTTTTGCAGCCTGTCGATGTCGAGGCCGCGCGAAAACGGAGACGAAACCGAAGCCGAGCGCTCGAAACGTCCGAAGCTCGAGCTCGAGGGTGAGGGTGAGGATGCGACGCAGGTTAGATCTCCGACCACAGAAATAAATCGCTCACTGTGCACTGAAACGCCGCACTCGCATGGTCGCTAATCATTAACCGTCACGTAGAGATCGCAACGCATTTAACCACCTGCACTTACTTGTAACATGCGCAAAAGAAAACGGATGCAAAAAAGGTCAAGTATAGTTGCTGTGAATGCATGGCTTGCGCGTGTCAGCTTAGCAACTGGATTGAGATCGTTTCGATTCGAAAATTGCGAGTTTTTGCCACAATCGTATAGTTAAAACATTTGCTAACAAAAATTAACCAAGAAAGAATCTAAGAGCTTTTTGGACTATCCTGTAATCTTGTAAATATTATTCGTGACAAAATTTGAATTGGTCTCGTAGTTTCTTCTTCTTGCGTTGCATGCATGTGTTTGTTTCTTTTTATATAAAGTTGTTAATCTGCATACAAGTGACGAATAATATAAAAAAAAAGAAAACTAATGGATATTCGACAGAACAACAATACGAGAGTGCTTTTGATTTATATAAGTTGCTTGTTGTAGATGTTGAGATTGAAGAAAAACTGATTGTTTCTCTTAAAGTTTGATTCGCTCGACACGACTTGCTTGGATTCTATGCTCCTAGCCTGGTATCCCAAGCCGTGTTTTGCCTGTCCCTCGCGCTTTCTCTCTATTCACACTCTCTACGCTCGTTTAATCCATCTGCTATTTCGTTTCCTCCCTCTCCTTTCGGTGCATTCAATTTTCAGCTTCTACTGTCTGTAGCAGTTCACTGTTTCAGGAGGAGTTGGATCTCCGATGTTCCGGAACGGACATTAACAATTCCATCACGAGAAGACACAGATCGTCGAGGTGATTATCTTTGGAGATATTATAACGCGCACGTGTAACAATTGTCTACGAAATTTGTGTTTTTATCTCTCTATGTGTTTATCTCTCGGACGGAGTATATTGTATATTATATACGCGCGCACATCGTTGCATTAAATGCATATTGATGTTCAGATATTCGCAATGTTTTCAGTCCAGTTTGGAGGAAGAAGAATAACAACGGTATTTTCAGCACCAGCGAGGAAATCAGCGATTCGGATAGCCAATTCTCGTTCTCCAACGAGGAATCTTCGTCCATGCATGTGAGTGGCGCGACGTCAACAGAGTTATCTGTGTCATGTAAACTAATTGATGATAAGAGAATGAAGAACTGTGATGATGTGTCTGTTTCAGGATACAAACGAGGTGGAGGTTGAAAACAGCGATAAAAAAAATGATTTCAATCTAAAGGTGAGCAACGAGTGGGAGATCCTTATCGTTGTGCGCCGGCTATTTTTTTGCTCTTTGTAAACTATTAGAAGTGCAAAAGTTGCTGCAAAACAAGTTTTCTACTTGCAATGTCATATTTTTTTGTTTTCATAGATAATGATTCATTGGAAAAAATCTTGCTCGGTCACTTAAATGCATATTCAGTAAACACAAAGTATTATAACATTTATTACAAAATAACATAACATTAACATAACATTAATGTTACAAATTTCCCACTCAACAATGTAACTGTTATGTATAAGACGTATGTTACATCGCAGTTACATTGTTGAGAAATTATAACATTAATGTTACGTTACTGTTACTTTGTGTTTACTGAGTATTGTTTGTTTAAAACTCTGCAACAACAAAAAAAAACAGGAAAAAAAACACCAAAACAAATAAATTAATCGATGCTGTTATTTATTATCTATCATGATAGTTCGTTGATTGCAAACGAATTGATTGCGCAGGTGATAGCCTCGCGCGGAGACAACATAATTGCCGTGGCGAATCCCGCGCTGATGGAATGCAGTCGTCCTATAAAGGAAGAACCCGCGGACGAGAAACCCACACTGTGATATTGTTACTTAGCGTTTACTGCCGCTATCAAGGTCACGAACGATGCGCGCGCGACCGACGACGTCTTTGCAAGTCATTGTCATTATCGTTCACCTACGCTATACGAACGCGATGAGCCCATTCTTTGTGCCGAAGCATTTTCACGGCGGCGACTGTTGAGATTACAAGACTTATTCGCTAAGTTTTTTTTTTTCACCGGTTGAAGCAATTTTATTTTCTTTTTTTCTCGCGTTTCTTTCCTCTCGAACGAGAAATTCACGACGCTATTTGTTGTATATGTGTAGATTTAGAGGAATACAAAAAAAAACAAAAAAAAAAAAAAATTAATATACATATATAAACACACTCACACGATATATTGTATAGCGTTTCTGGAAAGCGATAGAAAATAAAATTAAAAAAAAAAAAAACAAATCAAAAGATCACATGTACGACTGAGGTATATATGTTATAAATATATACAGCCCTACAGATTGTATATGAAAAAAAAAAAAAAAAAAAAAAAAACGAATGTAAATAAACAAGTCTTTTTATGCGTCATCGATGTGACTTTTACAAGCGCGTATATTTTGAAAATATTTTGAGATTATTAATAAATTACCTTATCACACCGTTTTCCTCTGAACGTTACCTCCTCGTGTTGTAGTTTGTTTACGCGACTTTACTTGCGCGCGTGCGAAGAAGCGGCCATGATACGTAGCTCGCGCACCACATGTGAGCGCGGATTAAGGCTGGATCCTTACGCAGACACCGGCGCTTTGACACCGAGCGTTGATCGGTGAAAAGCGGATGATGAGGGTAAATGGTAGCTCTAATTTATCCTCACCACCTGCTTTTCACCAATCAACGATCGGTGTCAAAGCGCCGATGTCTGCATGAGGATCCAACCTAAGGATTGATTAACCCCGTTAACTCAGGCCGATGCCGTAAAAATTGGAAAATAGGAAAACGCGTTACTATTGTTTATAATTGAATTATGAACCGGAGCACGAGTTTCCTATTTTCCAACTTTTACGACATTGACCTAAGTAGTTAACGGTGTTTACGGCTGTTATAAACCAACCCTAAAAGCTACACGATAGCCAATCGTTTTACTTTTTCTAGGGAGCTTCAGAGAGAGAGAGAGAGAGTTGCAAACTTGTGACGTCACTGAACAGCTTTTTCTCTGTCCAATCAGAATCGATTGTCTTCTTGAAAAACTCTATAGTTCAGAGAGCAGCCTTTTCCTTTTGTCCAATCCAGAGATGCCAGATCGCGCCGGACAGCATCGAGAGTATCGAAGCGGGGTATCCCCACCGCCTCGATGCTGTCGTACGCATACAAGCGAGAACCGCACACGGACGCTGTTTTCGCTTGTATGCGTACGAGAGCATCGAAGGCGGTGGGGATACCCCGCTTCGATACTCTCGATGCCGTCCGGCGCGATCTGGCATCTCTGGTCCAATCAGAAGCGACTGTGACGTCACGAGTTTGCGACTCTCTCCCCCTAACCTAACCTAACCTAACCTAACCTAACCTAACCTAACCTAAGAGGTCTTCTTTAGTCGGAGACTACACGAGACGACGCGTGGATCGTGAATGGTAAAACGTTTGAATACAGCTTGAGCAGAAGGTAAAGGTAAGTCGGTTGTACACAATAATTCCATTACAAAAAAGAACGCTACGTATACTTTTCAAACACTGTGAGAACGTGACGTTTTTTTGTAAATATGATAAATGTGTGAAAAAAACTTGGGAAAAAACGAGACGTTAATTGGCTACCGCGTGAATTGTGGCTGTTGTTCTCTAGTGTTGTTGCATGAGCGTAATTTTTGTCGTTGCGTGCCCGCCGGTGTTGTTACTCAGTTTACAACCTAACCTAACCTAACCTAACTTAACCTAACTTAACCTAACTTAACTTTGACCTAACTTAACTTTGACGGGAGTCAAAACGTATCTTTCTCATACAAAGCAAGTGCCAAATAGGTTAAATCCAGATTGGTTGACGGCACAGTAAAGAGAAGAAAAAAAGATTCATATATACAGTTCGTATAAGTGGTAATACAGTTCATATAAGTGGTAATACAAATATCAGATTCATAAGGGTGCTTGTTGAGAGAAGGTTCTTCTTGGCTCTTCTTTGTCCTTTGTTCTTTGATAACGCGATGGTTGTGCAGTTATACAAATATATACAAATCGTTAAACGTGATCGCTGTTTGGCTAAACAATAATCGAATGTATATTGTTAGGTAAACAAAAACAGAATATTTCTACGCATGACTCACATACCAAAACAAGTATTGAATCTTAACTGAATCTCTGTTCCTTAATATCGCAGTGTCGTCATACATTTTTAACCTTCGCGAAGATTCTGCAGAAGAAATTTGTCGCAGACCCAAGTATATATCGTCAAGAATCATGTCGGATCTTGATGTAAGTATATATAAAAAGTGTAGTTTGTTATAAAGTGAATATTGCGAGGTCTGCAAAAAACATAATTACGAACAGTGTATTGAAACGAGAGCATACTTTTCGTAAAAGAAAATTAACAACTGTTTTACCTTGATTAAAATATTCGTCTTTTATTGTGGAGCGTAAAACTTGAAGCGCAAATTTTGACAATTTAATAATTCTTCGTTTACTTGTGACTTTGCATATTTTTGTGTTTTTTTTTTTTTGTCTTTTCTAAGGTTATGTGTTTTGTTATTAAATTGTACATTTATTTTGTTTTGGGAGGGAACAAAGGTTTTTGTTGAAAACTTTGTTTATAAGAAAAATTAATTTTGCGGAGAAGATTTAGTAAAATTTTCTCTTTATTCTTTGATTGATGTCTCAAAACTTGAAAAAGTTTTATGTGTAAAATAAAAAGTTTCAGATTATGATTATTAAACAAAAATATTTACAAGTTATACAAATAATTGTTAAAACTTCTTTTCTTATTAATTGCAATTAGGCTGCATAAATTTTATTTTTTAGCACACAAATAAATATACATGTACACACACATATTTAATTACATAAATCACAGTTTGTTTTCACTTAATATATTACAGATGAGTAGCTCAGATGAAGAAATATTTGATGGCAGTCCCTCAACAAAAAGTGCAAATACATCATTAAATTCAATAAAGAGTGGAAATAAACAGACAATTAACAATGATTTGGTCATTAAAGATGTTTCAGTAAAAATTACACAATTACCAATAGTAAAGTTCAAGAAACGTGAAAAGAACGCACATAATACACAACTAAAGAAAAAAAAGCGAATTGTACGAAAATGGAAAAGAGGAATACTTTACAGAAGAAAGGAGAAGAAAAGAGAAAATAGCTCTAAGAAAACAACACCTATTGCATTAAAATTAGTAGAAAATAACGCAGAAAAACATGCGCAAGATCAATCGCAAATTATTGAAGAGAAATCTACAAATGCCCCCCAAAAGTTGCAACTTGCAAACTCGTACGTATTAGAAAATTTAGAGATGCCAAGTGAAAAGAAGGATACAGGGGGTGATCAAACACATACATCTGCTCGTATTTTGCCATATGATTTTTATCGAAATAAAAATATGTCTACAAATACTGAATGTTTAAATCTGTTGCCATCTTTAAACATTGAAAAATTAGAAAGTTACTTTAGTGAAAATGACTCGAGTGGAGATATAATAGAAAGAGCATTAGAAGTGCAACGTCAATTAAAAGAAATCAAACTCAGAAGAAAAAATTTGTATAAACAGTTAATGAAGCAAAAAGAAAAGATACCTTACAAAGAATCATCTTTCTCAATATCGTCAATCCTTAAAAGTAATGACATTGATATTACTGACGAAAGTGATTCGTCCGTAGAGTTGCGACCTGTTCCAAAGAAAAGACGTCGAAGAATATCATCAAGTGAAAGTAATGAAAATATAATTGATATTAATAATTCTAGCAGATCTTATTTGTCTCACGAAGAAACGAAACAAGCAAATCCGCAAATAAAGATTCGTGAGGTAAAAATTGCATTAACAAGACTTGAAGACATGATTAACATGAATACCACTAAACAAAAACAAAGAAAAGATGCTTCAGAAATAACCAAATCAACTGTACTAAGACAAAATACAGAGAAAGCAAGGAAGTCTAGCACTAAAATGACTAGTGAAAAGGAGAATTCATACATTACAGTTGAAGAGAGTCAAGAAACTGTGCAACGTCAGAACAACAAATTAATTTTGACTAGGAACGATGATCCTTCGCAAACAAAAGATATTTCCAAGGATTCAAGATTACCAATAACGCCTGATACTCAAGTACAGAAGAAACAATCAGATGATTTGTACATAAGGAAGTTAAAGAAAAGTTACAAACTATTTAAAAAACCACGAGTTCTGTTGATAAATTTGGAAACCCTACAGATTTCCATGAAACATAACCAATATTCGGCAAGTGAAGTTGAACGTTTGACGAAGAAATATATTAATTTTGTGATAAAGTCTAATCGCTTCACGTCCCGCGCGTTGTATGGATTCAGACAGTTACAAAACAAAAGCACAGATGTGAGTATTGCTCACACAGCAGATGACAATGCAAGTGTTTGTTTACAAAGCGTGACTGAGGACTCTAAGGAATGTATAGAAAGAAGTCCAACAAAAGGTATTACATTTTAAAACTTTTTTCTCGCGTTATGCAAAAGCAATGGAAAAATTATAATTTAATTTTTTCGCAATATTTTAAAATTAGTTAGGGGGGTATTCGGGGTCGTTCGTATATGTGATGCAAAACTAGCATCCTATATGAATTGATAGAATTAAAATTTCAATTAAAAAAAACTCACATGTAAATGTGAGTTCTGTTGCATAGATATATGCACAGTCATATTTTCACGCACAACATCCCGCGATGGCTCTTTATAGACTTTACATTATATTAACTTTAAAAAAATTAATTTTTTAACTTAATTATTACAATTCAGTATATATTTATAGTATTAACTGTAAATTGTATTAATAGTATTTATCATTAATAGTATTTATTTATTTTTAAATAATAGTACTGATTTTGTTACTAGTACTTAGTAATGTATTATGGTTATTATATTTTTGTGTAATTTTTGTTATCAAAATAATTACAATTATACCTAATATAACCTTTAATTTAATTGTTGCAGATAATGAATCTACAGAGAACGTCAAAACTACGCTAAAGAAATTTCCACTTAGCAACAACTTTATGTCTATGATTCCTATAGATCAGTACAACTTGTTGCAATTGCACGAAGATAAGATCAGTGTTTCGCCAAAGAAAAAGCAAGACCCCTCGTCGCAGGAGCTATTGAAAATATGGCAAAATGCATTTGGTAAAAAATCCACAGGACGGTCGCAAAAAACAACTGCGAAGAAGCAATCGGCGTCACAAGTATCCTCTGTTTCGCAAGATCCGTCGGAGAATTCAGCTGACACGAAATGTGGAAGTGTTTCCAACCACGTGGCTTCGACATCTCTGTCTTCCACAAAAGATGATACATCTGCTACAGCTTCTAAAGAAGTTGGTTTCCCGAAAAAACAAACGGAAACTGCAGCGGAATCGGCAGAATGCGAGACTGTATTCGAGTCACTCGCCAATTGTGTGAATCTTTCGAGTAACGAAAGTGTTGAGAAAACTATCTCTAAAGATAATCCGCTTCAATTACAAAACAGTAAACAAATTCTTAGAAATCCGCTTTATAATAAGAATGATAAAAATAATATTGCATCAAAATCTTGCTTGAATTTGACGAAAAAAATGACGGAAAATGCAGAAAAAGCAGAAAAAGCAGAAAAAGATTCATCATTAAAATTATCAGCAAAATCGAACAATATTACATCGCTCGTTAGAGAAACGAAATCTCCAAGGTTGAAAACTTCGTCTCAAGTTCCCCGAATATCGTGTGAAATGACAAAAATTACATTTAAATGCGGTAAATGCAATATAGTGTTCGAGCAGTTTCGAGCATGGCAAGAACATCATTTATATTTATGTAAACAGAATGCAATCGTAGATTCTTCGCCCGGCAACGTGTTGATACAACAGAATGTTGAGAGTTTAAATCCATCGATGTCGCAAAAAAAGTTTGTTAACATAAGACCCAAATTTCCAGGCTACCAACAAGCGCTTAAAGAGCGTAGTGTAGGATGCACAAGTTGCTTAAAGATTTTCGATAATAATTTCCAATATTCTGAACATTTTAAGCAAACCAATTGTCAAATTAAGAGAGTATGTCCTATAGATAAGACTGCGTCTACATCTCAAAAGACTGACAAACAAAATAACCAAGCTTCCAGAAATATATTGAAAAAAGTGATAGAGTTAAGAGCTCCGGAAAAGACTGTCGAGGTAATTGGGAACGAGCTAGGAAGTACATCACAAGACAATGCGAACGATACAAACGCAAAGAAACTTGTTACTTCGGAAGTGTCGCACGATGCAAGCAAACAAAGAAACGAAATGTCGAACTTACCGAAAACGACAAAAGAGCAAAATGAGCAGTCGACTTCTGCAACACGAGAAATAGAAAATCATGAAATTGAAGAAATAAAACAAGCAGCAAAGCCGGTTGCCATCTGCAAATGCCACAGGAACATCAAAATAGTCCATGGGGAAAACGTTCCGATTGAAATAGTATTACAGTGCACATGTTGTCACATACTGTTTCGACTGTTGGAGTGCTTTGAAGCGCATTGTCAGTCTTCTGTATCTCCGTCGTGCGCCAGTAATTCACAAAATAACAGGAAAGCCAAGTTATTTTGTAACATTTGTCAGGTGATGATGAACTCGCTCAACGACATGTATCGCCACTTGGTAATACATGCCAAGATCAATCGCAAGGGTACGGTGACCTTCCGCTGTAACATATGCAAGTTGGCATTTTACGGACTCGGGCCGCTGTTCAACGCTCATTTCAACAATCATGAGAAATCTCCGTGCTTCAAGAGCAATCATCTAGATTTTCCGACGAATACTTACGTCGGCTCGAGACTCATCAGGATGCCATCCGCGGATAACGACAAACAGATGAATATTTATTACGAGGTGGCCGATCATATATGTCCGAAGTGTAAAACACCGTTTTACACGCCGTTGGCTATGAGGATACACATGGTGACATGTAACGTTGGTAACGTTCGCGCCGTTGATAACAACGCATCAACTTCAACTGTCGCGAAAACTTTGATTAAGAAAAAACATCTTATTCTAATATGTGGATTCTGCAACAAGAAGTTCTGCAACAAAACGGTTTTCGATCAGCATTCATCAGATCACAAGCAAAAGCGAGAACTGAACCTGTACTATACCTGCGTGACCGTCACCGCGATCACGAAAGTCTACATCTGCAAAGTCTGCACGAGCATGTGGCAATCGTTGGAGAAGTTCGAGGAACATTGGCGCACTCACGGCGAATTGCGGGAAGACTACGTGTGCTCTGTTTGTGAGACTCACTTCGATGCTTTCGATCTCTTTGAGAATCACGCGATTACGCACAAGAAGTCCGTCTCGTGCAAGGTGGTCTATCGCGACGTCAACGAACAAAATTCTACGACGACTTTGCAGAGACAGGATAACGATGATCTGTCCGTCGCAAGTGTCTCGAGTTGTCGCGAAGAAACCGAATCTATCGGTGAGAAATCGGCAACAAGCTCTGACCAGGTTTTGTCCGTTGTCACGTCACAAAAATCAATGATCAAAAAAAGATTGTGTGAGAAACAAGATCAACCGATTGAGACGGTAACAGCGCCAGGTGTTTCCGATAGCGTTTCCTCCATCGATATCGCGCAAAAGTCAACAGAAGCGAAGAATACTACAACAACCTCCGCGAACGATTGCTCGAACATTGATAACTCGAAGAATAATAACAACGAGACTAACAACTTGAACAATCTTGAGGATTCAGACGATGATAATATGGTAATAGCTTTGTCAGATGAGGAGAACACGGTGTCAAACATTGCTGTTGGAAACACGACTGACAATGTGCCGCTCATCGAACATAAAGATACGGAAAAAAGAAAAACTGTTACATCTAATTCTGACGCAACTGTTGAACAACGAAAACAATCTACTGATTTGGAATCAGTCCCTTCATCTGCAGCAACTTCTAGCACTACAAACGTTAATAAAGACGCTTTAAATATAATAACTCAGGAAGAAACCAACGCGCAACCAGACAAAAGTGCGGATGTTTCAGGAAATAAGGAAATGTCGATATGTGTCGACGACGTCAGAAGTTCGAAAACCGCGCAGGATAATCGCGCGAACAATGCTATCGTTCATCCAGTGATCATAGATGTAGTTTCTTTGAACAAGAATTCCAAAGAATTGTCGAAGAATGACAAAACCACTAAATTAAAGGAATCGTCGAACAATGATACAAGCACTGAACCAAAAAAATCGTCCAAGAATAAAGACACTGAAAACAAAACAACTTTCTTGCGCGTGAAATCTTTGGCAGAATTGACAAACGCTCCTTTGAAATCGCATATATGCTACGAATGCGGTCAGCCGTTTGACTGCGTGCAAAAACTAACCGAACACATATCGCAACATGACACCGAACGAAGAAAACAAGCGTCTTTATTTAATCCAATTTTGGCACGGACTCCGAACGTAGCTATTCGACCCAAACTGCCACCACAACCCGTTGTGAATTCGAATCAAAGTCAGCAACGTCCTATTCTCTCTGCTACTTCCCGACAATATCAGGTGATTGGTGTGAAACCACTACATCTAGTTGCTTATACTGTAGTAGAAAATAAAAACGTAAGCTCGAATGTATTGCAGTATGAAATTCCATGGACTCCGCAACAGAAAAATACGTCTGCTGTGGTAACGCAACCATCGGTGATACAGCAGCCGACATGTCAACCAATATTTCAGGTATCTCATCAGGCAACAAACAAAGTTATTCAGAACAACAACATCCAACAAACAACATTAGTTCAACAACAACAGCAGCAGCAGCAGCAGCAGCAGCAGCAGCAGCAGAACACTAGCACTGTAGCCGTTAGGCCATTCATACAGAACGTCAATCAAGGATCTGTTTCACAATCAGCACTGTATAACCAACAGCAACGGCAACATCGGCGACAACGACAACTGCAACAATGGCAACAGCAGCAACAGCAACAACTACTGCGGCATCAAGAGATACAGCGACTGCAACAACAGCAGTTGTTACAACAACAGCAGCAACTGCAACAACAACAGAAATTGCAACAGCAGCAGCAATTGCAACAACAGCAGCAACTGCAACAACAGCAACGACTGCAACAACATGATGATGTACGTAATCAATATTTAGCGTCTCAGAGCAATGTGTCTTCGTTGGCACAAAACAACATGGTACCCGCGTACCCAGCCAATAATAACGCTAGCAGAGATCTGAATACGATACAGCAAGCGAAAACTCCGGAGCATCTTAAGTGTCTGTATTGTCCCGGCTTTGAGTGCGTCTCGATAAACGATTTTGCAGCGCATTTGCGTTCACCAAAACACGAGGCTCGCAGTCATTATAACGATGTGCCTTACAGTTCCTGAACGTAAGCTGTGGATGACGGTCACATTCCTCGTGAAAGAAAAAACAAAAAAAAAGAAAAAGAATTTCAAGTATTCACGAGTCGATAAGTTTTGGAGTCGATCAAAAAACGGCTGCGAAACATCACTGAATGCTTCCATAAAATTAAACAAAATATTAATTTATATAATGACGCGCTCTATCTTGTTAATAATTAACAGGATTCTTAACTCGAATAATTTTGATAAAATTGAATCTTTATTTTTGTAAGTTCTTCTATTACTCGAGATATATGTATATTATATTTTCCAGACATATATCCGAACAAATACGTAATATAGATATCATTTAAACGTTACTTGCATACATTACACGTTATACTAAAAACAAAAAGAAAAACGAAAGCTCTTTGTGTTTTCCGATAAATTAACTGATAGGTATAAGGACAGTTGTTACTACACTCACTGCTGAACGACATTATGCTGCAAAACTTTTTTTTTGTAGATACACTATTTTTCTGTACATACATTTTATTTGCGACACTAGGAAAAGATATCTAGGATAACAATGAACATTTATAAGAAAATATAACATAAGTCTTAATTTACACGTTTATTCCTAGCTTATTAACTATTCTTGTAATTTTTAGAGATAGTTAAGACCACTGACTTCAGTGTATTGAATTATGTGACGTCAAACGCGCGAGGGATCGTATGCAGTTACTATTTTGACGTATATCGTAATAACATATTTTTTTTTTTACTTTACCATCATCGATATTCGAAAGCGTGAGAAAATTTGTTTTTTCAGTATACAAGAGATAACAAACATGTATAAATTTCGGTCAGTTGTTGCAAAGACTATTTTATCGCTGAAAATATATGTTGAACGTGGCATATGTGTATTTATAAATGTAGAATATAAGAATGACGAAACGCTTTTAATGGAATTTGCCAATTTATATTTTCGAATATCCGACAGTGGCGTGTTTTCTTGCATCTGACGTTATAATTCAGCGTAGCTGAAGTAAGTACCTCTCCCCAAAAATAAAACTTTTGCAATAGAGAATAAGAGTAACGAAAGTCGTAACGTATAAAGTTTTAAACATAAAATCTCAGCATCTTGCTACTGAGGACTCAACAAAATAATTGAAAACAAATTTGGTTTTTCTAAACTTATTGTATCAGTTCACTATGTTTACTTATTGATATGTCTACTACATCGTTATTAGTGCATATTATTATCGCTTATTACATTTAATATTGTGCCATGTGATTCCGAGAAATGTCGCGGGAATGGTCGACACGTGTGGCACAAGTAGAAATTTTTAAAATATTCTCTTAAATTTTCAGGACACATACTCTTTAATAAAAAGAAACAGTGGTGAAAACTATATATTTTTTATTATAAATCTGTGTAAAAATTCGAAATAAATTTTAAAAGTATAACAAACAACCATGTTTACTCGTATTATAAGTGATTAGTTTCTGATTAACAATTAATTTTGACTGAGAATTAATTGTTTTCTCTTGTATTATGAAAAAGTATTATTACTTACTGTTGTTATATCTATTTTTTATTTTATCTTGGCCAATATTTAAAACGTATTGTTAACACGCAACAACACATGTTAACATTAAATAATGAATACACAAAAGTGTTATTAAAACAAAAAAAATGTTGAAATATTATTAGTATTTTATATAGCATCAGTTATTTTCTCTCTATAATTCTATTATATATGCATTTAGGAAATAAATCGAAAATATCTTCTGTAATAATATTCTTATTATGCAGTATAATAAAGGATTTTATCAAATTATTTTCTATCATTTAATTTTATGCTTAAAAGAGCTGTATTGTTTATATATACTTAAAATTAAGAATATTAATTGTTTTAGTGATAGTTATTTTAGTATTTTTCATTAGTTTTAAGTATATTTTTAATGAGTTTTTATTATTTTTAATGAATTTTTACTCTTTTTAATGATTTTTTTACTACTTTTATATGACTAACTGTAACTGTTTACGATTTATATGTGACTTTTAAGAATTTTACAAAGTCAAAATAAATACCAAACAAAAACATCTCTACGACTTAGTCTTACTGTAAAAAAGTATGCTATTTTTTATTTTCTCTTAAGTTTTACTATAATACTTTGTTTTACTCTGCTGTTCTATTATTTTTGTATGTAATGCTACTATATAACAAATATGTAAGAATAATATGTTATCGAATGCTTATAATAATGATAGAGAGAGACCACAAATATAACGATATAAGTATTATGCTTTAAAGTTAAGTATACGAAGTATTATGCATTTTTCTAAAAAAAAATGCTGTTATACTACTACTTTCTTATAAAGCGCACACGGTGCACAGATGTGTTTTTTAACAAATGCCCAAATTTATATGTAACAAGTATCGATTACAATAAGATACGGAAACATTTGTATTCTCTCGTTCCGTGAGTTTAAAATGACATATTTTCAATATTTGTTTTGGTGAAAGATATCGTGTGTGTGAAATTTCTATTGTAAGAAAAGCACTTCGATAAGTGTTCCGAGAATATCAAACTCGTTTATTGTAAAATCAATTACGTCGAGAGAATACACTTTTGCTGTACAATACGTATATACACGGACGATGGATACTGGTTTTTATATAATGAATGTAAATACCCTGATAGCCAAACTTGTCGCGCGAAAACCGAATTTTGTCAAATGAATCAATTTGTTTTGTCAGAAAAGCAGCAAACTCTCTCGCTTGCTGAATTTAAAGTCCACTAACAAAATTGTACGTACAATTTACGAATTTTTCTAAAAAAAACAAGAAAAATTAAGTAACTGTTGATTTTTTAAATCGTATATGATATATTGTAAACGATCTGATTCTATGCAGATTTTGTGAGCGCACGTAAGCGAAAGAAGAAGCGAGTGAAATTAAAATTTGGATTCTGTGTCCTTCCGACAATGATATATACGAAACAGAATACAATCGGACCTTTCAACGGGTACATTTTCTGGATCGGAAGATTTTCTTAACATTTTGAACCGGAGGTCACATCTTAATATCAATTTATCGTTATATTTTCTCAACAATTACATCACTCTTCTAGTCTCGCCGCTATGATAACCATATAGAGCATATCTATATTTTATTTTATGCATGCACGAACGGACGTGATAAGGTGATAAAAGAAAGCGATAGGATATCAGCGCTATTTGAAAAGCAAGACCACCAATTGAGAGATTAAAAATGTAATTGTTGAGAAGTCCGATTGCAAGTTAAAAATACATGAACGATATATGAACGATATAGAATATGTATATATATATATATATATATGTATATATATATATTACATATTTATATATATATTTGTTTTGTAAGATATACATATGCTTTCGAATAAATACTATTCTTGCGACTTGCATTTGTCTTTATTCGGCACTTTGAGCGACATATTCATTCTTTACAGCGATTATTATCCTAATCATTGCGATCGTGATAAATGACTAATAACGTTATATAGAGAAACTATGTTATTAATGTGCAGTGACTTATACGATGACGAAAATATCTAAGAACAATTATCAGGTGAAGTTTCAAAAAGACCGTCTCCAATTTTTATGAAATTTCACTTCGTGAAATCTTGTGGAAATAAATTTTTTCTTCGTCGCGAACAAAATTTAATCGAAATGAAATTGTGATGAGCGATAAATGTGTGTGTTACGATAAGGAACATTCTTATTGTTGTTTTAAATATTATTTTAAGTATTATTTGAAGAAAGAAACAAAAACTTTTAGTCGCCTCTTCGATATGTTTACGTATATGTGAAGTGCGCAAAACATGAGACAAATTTATATAAATATTTTTTTGTGAAAATTTTATGAAAATTGGAGGTGAGGCTTTTTCGAATTTCGGACGTTAATGTTTTTTATCTTGTCGATCTTACTATCGTAATGAACAATTCTTATGTTAAGGCAAGCTTACATGACTAAATTATTACACATCGGCTGACCATATTCGTCGAAAAGATTCAATGCTCCATTTGTCGAAAGTTTAAATAATATAACTGAATCAAAATTAAGGTACGCTACTTTTTGATTAATTTATCAAATTAAACACAAGAAAAAAAAATTGTTATAATTTAATTACACTCAATAATTACTTCGTCAGTTAATTATTACTTCGTCTCTAATTAATTATTACTCGATTTATATAAATAAACAACAATAGTTAAAATACTTAAGTTTTTATAATTTAATTATCAGTCGTGTTTTTATTTCAACAGAAGAAAATACTCTAAATTCTCTTTTGTCATTGACAAACAAACGCATATGTAAATCAGTCTTTTCTATCCAAATTTGAGCTCGTTAAAATTAGACCGATTTTTCTATTTTGTTCAATGATCAAATCTTTTTCGATGAATCATCAGCACAGTCACACCAATGGTATTCTCTTTATCTTACGCTTTGGCACATAATTCACGTTGCACAATGTCGTATTTATCCGAAGACGAATACTTGTCCCATTCTAATTAATTATATATATGTATATATTGTGTAATATATATATACGTGATATAACGTGTACGTGTAACTACATATAAACGTGAGAATGAGTTTCATACAAAGGATGTTTCTTACAAAAAGTTCAATAGTCGCGCGAACTCGAAACTACTTTTTTAATTAGTAATTGGTTTCCACACAGGAAATAGATAGTTTACGTCCTATTATTTACTACATTAGTTTTTCTATAAACATGAAAAAATTATCGTATAGAAATTAATTCATTATTGTATGTGAAATTATGTAATAAAAAAGTTCTCGTGAATGAGAAACATCGAATTACACGAAAAATATTCAATTGCGATACCAAAGAATTGAGTGACCTAACTATTAATTTAAGAGGATTATCCCCTCGATACTTGCATAAAAATTAGATTAAGTGATTTTATATGTAGTTTATATATATCTCTACACACACATACACACGCACACGCACGCACTCTTCTTTACGTAACAAAAGATTATATTGTAAGTTCAGTATTGTTTTTTTTTACAAATGGAAATGTTTAAAAAAACCAAAACGTAGTGCGATCGTATACACACACACATACACGCACACGCACACACTGTGAGTTATGTGAGTTATCTCATCTACTTTAAATCTTAAAGAATTAAGTACTATGAAGAACTTCGTTTATCTACAAAGTTCTTCACGAGCCGATTAAGTCTCGCGCGCTCGTTTCTAAATTTATTAATTGTAATACTGATGCAGGTTTTCGATGTTCTTTACTAACGCGTGTTCTAATTGTTTTTTTTTTGTTTTTTTTTGTTTTTTTTGTATACATATATATTTGTCTTACAAAAGTACGAGAATCTAAAGAGCAATTTATTTAAGTATGAAGTTCTCACTCATTTCAGGTAAATATATATATATAACGAGATCGTTAGTGTCTAAGATTTAATTTACAGCGGAGAGGTGAGAAGAGCAAGTGTGGCCGCATATTTAGAAACATTTCGAAATAATCGCGTGTTTGTACGATTTCGCTCTCACACGCGACGTTCTTTTCTTTTTGTTTTAGAGGGTTTACAAAAAACATTACGTGTGTGTAATAAAAGAATAACATGTGTAACGAACGGACATTTGTATACGTCGAAAACAAAGTCACGTCATGTTACGCTTATTGTTTAGTTCAGATAATGGAGAAAAGATATTTTCGCTATCTACGAAATGTATTCTTCCTCGCGTTATAAAAGTGTCTTCATTTACGTACACGTATGTGTATATATACAAGCGATCATCGCGCCGAATAATCATCATTCATTTCACTCATTCTTTCTAGATGTACAGTATTGAGCCCGAAGAGAGCGCGATCGGAGCTGCTCCCCGCTAATAAGTTAACATTGATTAAATGTAAGTTCGCGTTCTTGTATAACACTACGTGCTAAGTTGTACAGTATAATATAATATTACGCAGAGCTATAACTAGATATATCGCGTCGGTGGAAAAATATCGTACTTTCTTGTTTTTTTTTTTTGCACGTGACACTCTCTCTTTCTCTTTCTGGACGTTTCCGCTTTTTATAATCAACGCTCTGAACTCCGTTCCGCGGCGTAGCTCACAGGAGCGCACTTGTTCCTTTTACAATATTACACGCTCACCTTACACAGGCTGCGAGTTAACTGTCCCAGTCGCGACAAGTCACACGTCCCGCGACTCTCGTGCGCTTGTTCGTATTTATTTAAATAATTTGCGAAACGTAACTTACAAATTAGAAAGGTGAATTTTATAAATTTTAAAATCGAGTGATACCGGCAATTTTTTTTTTTTTTTTTAATTTTAAATTGAAAGAAAGGGGCTGACTTTTTTTTACCAGTGGAACATGTCGCGTTTTACTGGGACAGTTCGCTTCGTTTCTTCCTTTTCTTCTTCACTTCGCGTCTTCTTCTCTCTCTAACTAGACTAGGGAAACAGTAAATATGTCACTCTCTCAGCGCATACGCACACAATCGACGTCTCGTTACGTAAAATCCGTAAGTTACTACCGTAAGAATCTCTCGCTTTCTCTCTCTCTCTCTCTAAAAATTGTCTCTGAGATCGTTATAAACTTGCGCCAAAAGTTTTTGTCTACGTTTTCTATGAAAAATTTGTGCTTACAAAACCACTTTTTAATATCGTTCACAATATCATAATTATCCGAGGTTTAAAAACAAACAACAGAAGATATCGGATTTTATCTATTCGAATAAAATGTTACGAAATAGGAGATTTTTTTGCAAATTTGTACAAAATTGTTTATATCGTCTTATTGGTTCCACGTGTATTGCAAATGTTGTTCAGTCTGAAGATTGTGAGTTCCAACAAGTATACAAAACGCTACGTCTAATCTCGCGTTGACGTGAAAATGTTTGGGATGGAAAATAAAATCGAAGTTGATAACAAAAAAGAGAGATCAGTTTCTTGTAAAAAAAGAAACAAGAGTTTTTAACATTTTAATAAATATGTTGCTTGTAATGAAAATTGGGATACGACAACATATGGTGGCGAAAGTCCATAACGTAGAAATTGATACGTATCGATCATTGTGCGATAATCTTTATGTGTAATCCTTCAAACAGAGTCGTGCAATAATGATAATGATGATGACTGAGCGAGCCGAGAGAATAACTGGGCGATTTCTATGATTGTCCTTGTCGTCTCGTGTTTCCCAATTGCATTGTGCCTCAGAGTAGAAAAAAGAAAAGTGCTTTTGGGCTCGTCAAGCAAAAGAATCTCGACACGAATTTCCACATTCATCGGATAATTGAGAAAATTGTCAAAGTTCATTTATATCAAAACGATAACTTTCGTCTTCAGAAAGAAATTTCTTTTACAAGTTTAGTTTGTTTCGTCGATTAAAGTGTTTTCTCACTGAACAGAAAACAATTAAAAAAAAAAAAAAAAAAAAAAAACAATTGCCAATTAGAACTTCATCTCCGCGAAGTTCAAAGGCTTTCACGAGCCCAAAAGTCCAGTTCGCTTTTAGAACCTGCTGACGGCTTCGTCATCGGTGACGAAGTAATTGGAGCTCTTCGCGACCGAGCTGTACATGCTGTACGTGGGACTGCAGACGATCATACTGCTCGTGTTGTCGAGTTCCGTTTCATTCGTCACTGACGAATGCCTGCCGATGGTGGACAGCCGCTTGTCCTTCTTCGCCAACGTCATGCGACAATCCTCCGGCCTCAACGGCATCGACGGATAATTCGGCTGTCGGGCGAGCGTCGTCAACGCCGCTCTGTCTCCCGTGTCATTAAAGCTGCGCAAACGTTTGAGAGAAAACATAATCGGAGAGGGCGTTCAAATATCGAACCTTCCGAAGCGAATGTCATCCGATGTTTTTTTTTTTTACGTGTACGTATGATTTTATTTATTTCATGTAGATTTTATTGTCAAAATAATTGTTTCGCGTGTGTAATTTTATTTTTTGTGTGTTTTGTTTTATTTGGAAATACAGTCCTGTGTCTCGTTTCTTATAGATACCTGTGATGTCGCACAATGCCCCTCTTTATCTTGCAATGCTCGGTCCCACCTTGGCCGTCAGTCGCGGTTCCGTGGGTCTTGCACGCCTCCACCCCCATCGACGGCACGGGGGACAGGGAACCGGGACCGTACGAGCCGCTGCTCTGTCTCCTGTCCAGGATGTTGACCAGTTCCACCGACGGCGTCGGCGAGAATGTGCCCTGAGGACACGCGACACACAAACCACTCTAGATGATAGAAAACTTCCGAAAGAAATGTTGGAGATATCGCATGGAAATGCCCGAATCTTCTGGAGAGATTCAAAGTCCCCCCGCGGAACTCTTCCTCATCGGAAAACTTCCTCTTATTTTTATAAACAAGCGCTGATATGATAAGTAAAAAAATCAAACACTTATACGCAAAACAAATGCATGATTTAATCAGACAAAATTCGTACAAAGAAAATAATAATAGTTTACATGCTGTTCTGTGAACATTGTGAGCGCTTTTCGAACAAAATTGCTAATTAACAGAGAGATAAAAATCAGCAAATAAAATCAAATTCACGAGAGATTGCGTATATACGAAGATTAACAGATCTTCGTCGTCTTTATTGATAAACATCACGCGCGCGCGCGCGCTGATGTGTAAATAACTAAATATATACATACATACATACATAACAAGATAAAAAACTTAATTAAACGATTAATATCTCGCATTTATCTAAAAAAAATATACATAAAACAAAATGCGCGCAGAAGTAAACGAAAATACGAAATTCCATCATCTTCACAAGAACGATGATTCGTGCTGGTCGTCGCTCACCTGCAGCGACGGTCTTCGCAACGTGCCGCCCTCCATGCCGATCAGCTTCACACCCTTCACGCACTTCTTCGGACCCACACTAGCTGGCGGATTCTCCTGAACGTTCAGATTGTTGTACTCCGTGTTGCTCCTGTCGACGATGCTGATCCTCTCCTCCCGTCCCGGCCGTTCCTCCCGCGGCTTCTCGCTCGGCCCGAGCTCGCAGCCCACCTTGGCGTAGGACGGCGCGCAGGGAGCGATCGGCGTCGCCGGTACGCCGATCGACCGAGTGGGCGAGAGTATCTGACCCCGCAGATTTCGCACACCGAGGATCTGACCGCCCTGCACCTGCGTGTACTGGCTCACCGTCGGAGTGTTGTGATGACGTGCCGGCGTCTGCGTCCGCAGATTCTGCAGATTCTGCAGATTGTGATTAGCGCGTTGCGCGACCGACATCGTGACGCTCTTCGTCTTCGTCTCGTGATCGCCCGCCGGATCGCCGTCCACCATGTCCTCGTCGTTGCAGGTCCTGTCGTCGTCGTAAGCGCCGACACCGTCCACCGAATCTATGCCTGACGTCGATTTCTGAAAGATAGACTGGGTTTACGTATAGACATCGTCAAATCGATGAATTCCGTACGAGCTGTATAGAACTGATGAGTTTTCAATTATACCGAGGACGAATCCATGAGAGCGGCGCCGGAGCTGCTCTGCACGACGCCCGGTGGGTTCTTGGATTTGCCGGGCGAGTAGATGTTGAGCACGTCGCAGCATTGCGGAAAGTAACCCTTGCCGAGAAGATTTCTGGTGAGGAAACTGGTGAAAAGCTGAGTGAAAAGGGCGATTATCATGATCGCGGTGCGAAAGGGAAACTTTTGGCTGCGAGTCTTCGCTTCGTAGAACGGATATTCGAGCAGTGGTCGTATGCCGAGTCCTTTTTCGCCGCCTGTAGAAGTAGCGGGATGAAGTAGCTTGTAAAAATTCGACAGATTTTGAAATAATGACGATTACATCGAGATTTAGGACACAATCACTGACCGGCCAGACGTAGAGTGATAGCAATAAAATATCCCGCCAAACAACCGTAAGTGTCCACCATAGAGGGCCAATGGATGACGGCTAATAATTGCGGGAACAGAACAACGTAGACGAGATCGGAGCACAAGTATCTTTGAACACAAACACAAATTTCAAATGTAAACAAATAATAACGTTAAGTGTTGTAAAAAAAAAAAAATTCACAAAGAATCAAAAGGTCACTTCACTTACGAGAGATAATAAACGCTGTTGACCGTGAGAGCAACGAGAGTGGACAGAACGGAAACGCCAATTACCGAACATCTCAGGACCCAATTCAGCTCGCGTTCGGACGCCTGTAACGTAAAAGAGGCTTCAATGACGCCTGGTTGGCGCCGTCAATTGAGCCGCGATAGTTAACACTTACTTTCGGCCGTATCGTGAGTTTGTAAACGTTTCTGGTGAACATGGAACTGCTGGCGAGAATACTGGAGTCCGCCGAGGACATGACCGCGGCCGAAATCGCACCGAGACCTAAACAAAACGATCGACATAAATGTGCGAATGAATTTAAAACAACGATAACACTGTTGTTTCTTAACGGGCAATCGAAAGACCTACCGACGAAGGACACCCATTGAGGCGTGAGATATCGCAGCACCATCGGCAACGCGGCGTTCCCGTCGTCCGTGGAGAACGTCCTGTTGTATCCCGGGACCACGGACCAATCGGTGGCGCGAGCTACCACGCCAATTAACATCGACGGTATCGCGAGTATCATGCAACCGAGCATCGATGTTATTGACAGAGTCGTCGCGACGGAGGTGCTCTTGATACTTAGGATTCGTTGGAAATAACCCTGAAGAGAGAAAATCACGTTCGTCACGAGAGAAACAAATTTTTGGTAAAAAAAATTTTATCAGAGTTTTGATCTTCCGTCTCGATTTTTTATCATTTTCTATTTTTTCCACTTCTCTGTCACGTGTTTTCTTCTTGAAAAACTTTTCTCCAATTACCTGCCAAGGAATGCCGCCGAACACCAGCAACAGCATGCCGTCCACCCACACGCCCAAATCCTCGTTCTTGATCTCCCCCAGCCAGTCCTTGGTGGCCAAATTGTGCTCGAACGACACCGCTGAATGAACCATGGAGAACGGGGCCGCTATCACCAAACCCAGAAAAATGCACAGCAGCTGCAGCGCGTCCGTGCACGCCACGGAATACAACCCGCCGAAGACGGTGTATCTGGATGGAAAAAAAAAAACAGGGTGCATTCTTACGCTTCATTTACTTCACCCATTACCTGCTAAAAACTTGAAACTATATTTTTATTATATTACGCAATATATACATATACATATATATATATATATATATTACGTTGAGAAAATATTTTTAGATAAATAATGTCAATATGTTATTTCCCTACATGGCCGCCAAGAGCGCGGACGCGCAGACGCTGATGTTCGGGTCGACGCCGGCGACGACGGCCAACGAACTTCCCAGTGCCCTCAGAACGGCGCCGCACCAGAACAAATCGCCGCATAACGCCGGCAGGAAGAGCAAACCCCCGACACCGGCGCCGTATCGTTCCTGAAAGGGGTCCAGCATCGTCACGTACTCGGCCTTCCTCATCGGGCGCACGAAGAGCATGGCACCTGGGTAACGTAATGTTCATCGTTTCAGTTTGCGGTACGTTTCAAGTGTGTTAATATTTATCGGATCAACAATTGTGTGATACTGTAAAATTTAAATTAAATTAAATGCGTACTATTATGTAAGCGTATATAAAAATGAACCCACGGAAGTTTTTACGTACCGAAGAGCAAACTGAGGCTGTACCCGATAGGTACTTGACACCAAGCCAAACCCTTCGTAAACATGGCCTCCGCGGTCCCGTTGACGAAGGCACCCCCGACCCACGTCGCTGCATATAAAAATACATAAGGGTCGATGAAAAACAATAATTACACATCCCGTCATTATTTAAGGTAATATATCACTAAAATGAGAAAAAATGATACAAAATTGTTTATCTAATCATTTTGTTTGTTTCTGTATTTAAGTAATTTTAGGAGAATCATTTGTTTTATTATCGCTGTACACGATACGATGCATATCGTAGAAAAGTGTTTGCATTTTTCGATTCTCGACCTCGTTTTGAAATAATGAAAAAAAAAATCGATAGAGAAGAGTGAGAGAGAGAGAGAGAGAGAGAGAGAGAGAGAGAGAGAAATCCATTTTGCAAGAATATGTGTAAACTCCTTCAACGTCAGAGATGGTTCAAAAATAACGAGGCCAGAAGTGGAGAAGAAAATGTGGAACAAATCAATTTTAAATGAAGCAGCGCCGACGAAGATTCAATACTTCCTCTTACGATGCTTGGCCTTTTGCGATACATCGCGTTTGACACGTGTCGATACATCGAAGAGGGAAGATGTACTCGCGAGTGCGCTTTTCCGCGAGTTATTTAATTTCGCGAAATTTGATGGAAAATTTAACAAACTCGGAAAGAGAGAGGCGCAGCGATAATAAATCGGTCGGTTTCGCAGAGAGTTCAATGCCTGTGTTTGCACATCGCGAAATGTTTTTTTCTTTCTTTCAAGATACAAGTTTCCGAACTCTCAAACTAGAAATTAATTTACACATCTTGAAACTTTTATTTCAAAACTTTGAATTATTTTGCTTCAATGTCGATTAATTTAAATGTGAAGAAAAAAATAGACCTCGGGAGCGATATTGAAGTACAGAGTTTACACAGTAATTGTGTGATCTTTATTAATATCCTCGTAACTCCGTCGATATCGCGTATGCAGATTGATCCTTGACCCGACCGACCCTTTGAATTGTTCATCAAAAGCAGGAAGTTCGTCGCACACGCGCAAATAGAAGCCCTATTAATCCTAATCAAGGTCATTAGTCACACAAGTGAGACTTCGCTAAGAGATTTGCATTACATTGCACATGTTATTTCGTTACGCCAATAATAATAATTTTCGCCTCAACAGCGGAACGTAAGCTCGTTCGAAATGTGGAGAATTGAACTTCTTTTTTAACAGTAGAATTGCATGGAGTGTAATCCAATCAAAAATTGTTTTACTTAATAAACACATGTTTACTCAATGGCTGCTTGTAAATTAACTGATTTTAGTAATCGACGCAGCAGCAGAGCGTTCAAATTTCTGTCGCAACGATGAGACTCGGACTTTGTCGTGCTAGGTTTTACATTTTACTTTGACGGTCGGGGATAATTACCGATGAGGGTGAAGACTCCGAGTAGCGGGCTGAGGGAGCGATTCGCCAGCATCATGTCGTTCTGGCCCTGCGCGGCCTTCCTTCTCTTAAACGCGGCGGCCCACACACCAACGCCCAGCACCGCAATGTAAAAGAGAATCACACCAATTACACCCGTCACGTAGACTCCCATCTTCTTCTAGCGTTGTGCGCGTTCTCTCTTCCGCATGTACAGACCCTGCAACTGTGAAATGATCGGTGAGTAAAGGCGCAGCGACTGTCAAATAGTTCGGTTGCGCAAAAAAAACAAATCCGCATCTGTTTCAACTGTTGATCAAAAGTCGATCGACGTCTTTTTTTCAGAAAATTTGTTGCTTTCCTAATAGAAAACAATTCGTTTCTTTTGTCACTCTTTTGCATTTTATTAAGCAATTCGTTATTTTTTCAGTTACACACAAATTAATGCAATAATGATTCTTGCAACTTCCAAGTGTGCGTTTGATGCGATTTGTTTTTTGATAATAATTTTTTCTTTTCTCAATTGTTTTTTTTTTTTTTTTTTTTAATAGAAATCTAATAATTTTGGTGTGATTTTTTTCTGTTTTCAAACACGAAAACTTTCTCGTAGACGTCTTTAAATACCGCGGAAACATTTTGTATAGCAAACTTGGATTCTGCAACTGAGGCACAAATGACGACTAGAGTAGTTCAGGAAGTTACTCAAGTCAAGTAATTCTACAAGACGAACGGTGAAAGATCAGAGCACAAGATGTGAGACGTTGATTAACATTTTCACGCGCATTTAGAATTCAATTTCGCTTGTTTGGCAATAATTTCATTGAAAAACAGCTGGCGGGTTTATTCCTCTGCTGTCACGACGACAGTCGTGATGTAACATACGATCGGGGGAGGTGCTCATAATGGCATCAGTAATGGGTAACAACCGGACGTAAGTTGTTATTCTTCGTACGAGATATTATATTATATATACACGATTTGTTTATTTTTTTGTTTGTGTGTGTGTGTGTGTACGCGTCAAAGTTTGGACGCGCGCGTTTTACTAGTCGCTGTCTGTGAAACACGTACTTTGTTACACAACAAGTATCACATCTCGAGCGTCGTCGTATACTTCAACATGTGTAACAAGCTTGATTATAATGGCTATTATATACGTATATGTGGAACACAATAGAGTGACACGGAGATGTAGGCGCGCGGATTAATCGGATGTAAAATCCCGCGTGCTCTCTCTCTCTCTCTCTCTCTCTCTGGCGCGCGCGCGATCAATACCGCGTTAATTATTCCGTCTCCTTGATTAACATCGCTGTACAAATAAGCTCGCGTAGTCGTACGTCTCTCCGCTTATTAGTCGGCGCAAAAAGCTCTCTCGACCTTTGAATATATTTAGAAATCGATATCCGCGAACTCGCACAACGAAAAGTCGATAAATAAAACACTCCCGAAAAGAGAAAAATTGATTAATATTATTCGCGCGCGTATACGCCCGTGTTGTTTAATTAATTTTGATTTTGTTTTTACGTTTGTATTGAAATCGAAGTAATTTTGCTCCTCTCTCGTATTTAAAAATGGCTGAAGTATCATCGATTTATGTATTTATTTCGAGATTTAGATTTAGAACATAACAATATACTCTTTCTCTCTCTCTCCCTCTTTCTCTCTCTTTATAAAAATAAATATCATAGTCAATCAGTTCTCGTGACACACTCGTGACGATTAATATTAGATAAAAGAAGCTACAAAAGGTTTTTATTGTACACGAGACACACACACACACGAGTCATCGTGTGCCGAGATATATATCCTTCGTTATCTGTTCGAGATTGAACGATCGTTTAGCCGCTCGAACTCCCGTGACCGATGACATACACCGGTGACATTTTGCTATTGAGCACATTTCGCGCGGGAGTTTGCGCCGCAGCTCATCGTGAAAAAGCTAATCGAGCGCGACGGCAATTGTCGCGCGTTTTAAAATTCAAGTGTGGCCCAGATATCGGGTCACACCAGGATGGATCGTGACCCGCACACGGAAAAGTTCAGCGCTGAGTTTTGAGATCCTACGCGAATTTCGAAACGGTTCGCATTCATCAAATATTCATTCGACGTTATTCGGAGCGAGAAGTTGACGACTGTGAATGTTATATCTGTAAGAAATATGTATACGTCGAAACGAAAGTATTTGACGATCGCTGAAGTATCGGGTACGAGCACGAAAACTTCGCACGCGCGAAGTTTTTGCAAATTTTTCCAAATATCTCTCAGCTGATTGGTCCGGCCTGCCAATCCCGCCGACTTAGCGCTGTACAACCGCAACGTGATCTCAACATCTATATTATCTTGAAGCTATTTGTTATCTTACATTATTGGTGTGCGCACTTCCACGCAGAAACTTGCGTCGTGCACACATACCGAAACGAGTCCTATTAGAAAGAAATGTCAGAAGGAATATTCTCAGCAATATTTGCCAAAGTGGTTTTTTTAGCGCGTAAAGTGGCAATATTTCAAATTATCGAGGACAGATCTCGGTGACATTTCTCTCTTATTAATTCGTACGTTAATAATATTCCCCATGCGAGAAGAGTTTTCGCAAAACTCTTCGAAAGTTCATACGTTTATTTATTTTTTACGTTTGTTATTGAGCAGAAGACGCGAGATGAGTCACATCCCATTGTATTAAATCAGAAAAAAGAGATAAAATTTATCTACAAAGATATATATATATATATATATATATATATATAAAACGCAATAAATTTATTTTTTTTATTTACTATATTTTTTGAATGAATTTTTTTCTCCTTCTCTTTTCTCTTATGTCCGCTCAAGTCAAATATACATTGAAGAGTTTGTTGTTTAAACGAGGAAAATTGTAGGAAAAACATATGGTTTTGAAAGTTTGCCAGTGAATTATTCGTAGAGCAGATGTCATATAAAACTCGTGGAGCATAAAACCGTTAAGTTCATAGAGCGTTGCGCGTGAGAGAGATCATTTGTTTTTCGCAGTTCGAGAACTATCGGCACGTCGTTTTTTATTTTGAAGCAACGACGCGCTTTCACGCTTGTACGCGAACAGTTTTAAATCACTACCGCTTTACGCGGTAATCTATTTGACATTTTCACTGCATACAAGAGCGTACACGTGCGAATTGTTACACTTAAACGTCGATAATCAATAAGCGCGTCCGCTTTCAGTGCGAAATAAACCTCGGTAAATCAAGAAAGGTAAGCGAAATCTCTTGAATCGCGTCTTCGAGTGCGTTTGAATCTGACAAACCGCGTGTTAAGCTTCGCGCGTATTTAACGTAAGTCTGTTAACAACTGCAAAACAAATAAAAAAAATAAAAAAAAATAAAAAAACATTTAATTCAAAAAAACATCAGTTAACTCATTAGATTAAATTTGAAACAGATTCCTATTTTCTTTTCTAAAACTGCAAAGCGAACAAACGTGCAAATTTACTTTTCCCTGAGTAATAATATAGGAAGTAACTTTTTTTTTTCTCTGTCGATAACGTGTTCTCGCGCCTATAATCTCATTATCTCACCGACGCAAAAATAGAGAAAGAAGCTTGATACGCGCTTGATCGAGGTGAAGGGTAAGCAGCCCTCAAAGGGCGAGGCAAAAGGGTGCGAGAGTTGACCGACGTTAATTTTATGCGAAGGCGTCTCTCTCTCTCTCTCTCTCTCTCTCTCTCTCTCTCTCTCAAGGCTCATCAATCGCAGAAGAAATTTTCACAACAGAATATTCCCAATTACGAGTATCACAGCCAAGATCCCCTATTCTCGTAGGAGACCGACGAAGAGCGGGAGAAAGAGGAAGAGAGAGAGAGATTATATTTGCGATGCGCCGCGTGGGAGAAGAGCCTCTTGAAAGGGATATGAGAAGCTTGTCAACGTAACCGAATGGAAATCTAAGTACGCGAACGGAATACCTTCGGCGATTTCTTCGCGAAGCGATTTAAAAGACTTAATAAGTGTTGCCAAACTCTATTTTTCAATGATAAAAAAAAAAAAATAATAACAAACGATTGTTATTACACGTGGCAAAAAGACACATAGAAAAGACAACAACGATGCGAACGCGCGGAACTTCGAGGCGCGACATTGCAAAAGCTGTGCGACGTTAAACGCGTGGGAAAGAATGTTATACATTGCGACGGTAAGAGATAACACACACAGTACCGGATTGTGGAGATTTACAACGCGCTTGGAAATCCGAACGTTGGCAGAATCCCGTTCTACTTCTCTCCGCGTGGGCGAGAGAAACAATTCTCGCATGTGTGTGAAGTGCGAAGGATCGTTTGGCTCGGTTTGGCTCTCGCGAACGAAATCAGCACGCGTGCAGTTTATCTTTGAACTCGAAGTCTGGGCCGCCCAGTTCGTTGCCAACTTTTCGAAGCAGTCACCGCGACCGTGTTGTCCGTCACAGACGGACGCCAAGTGTAAAAATCGATCCGCGGCTTTTCATTCTTCGATTCTACTACGGAGAGAAGGGGGAGGGAAGTTGAGGACTATCATCAGTCTCCCTTTTGTGATCTCTTCGAACGACCTCTCCACACTGACCCAATTTGCGACGAGTGATGATATCATTACCATACAAGCACATTTCCGCACTTGATGCGAAATTTACCAGCAGCGATCATAACAACATGAACTCGCTGCTGGGTTCATCTTACTTTCTTCTCGATGTGTAAATAAAATTATTACACATCGAGGAGAGAGGAAAAACAGAGGCAATTTTTTTGTTTCTGACCTGCGTACATCGCAGATCCAATCTAAGCTAATAGAGAGCTAAAATAGAGAGAAACATATGTACGCGAACGAAAAAAAAAAAAAAGGAAGCGATTTTGCTTCCCGATATTATTGTTATGAACGCACTTATTGCACGAGTGTGTAATGAAGCGTCGCGAATCGGGCAGCACCCTGGCGCGAAAGCGTTTTAGAAAACAAGAAGGAGAAAAGGACGAGAGAGGAGGATTAATTTATTGCGCGCTTCGTGGGAAGCGTAAACTCACCTCAAGCGTGAATAAAAAAAAAAAAATTGCAACAAGAGCAAACAAACGGGAAGTAGACCGATAAGAAAGAAGCAAAAGAGAAAGAGAGAGGAGAGAGGGAAAAAAATCGAAATTTCGAGTCGTACTACTTACCACCGGCTATCCTCAGCGGGATGATTGTGCAGCGCACCCTTTCACGCGGACGTGCCCATCTCTCGCCGTATACGGCTCTCACGCGATTTCCTGTTTTCACGGGCGCGCTGCCACGGGGAACTCGCTCCAGAGAGAGAGAGAGAGAGAAATCGGCTCCTCCCGGACGCGGCACGCGGGATCGACAACTCGCACAACTCCGGCCGGGGCGTTAGCCGCGCGACAGAGAGGAGCCAGGCGCAGATACGACTGAATCTCTCCTACGTACTCAGCATCCCGCACGGCTGGCTGACACGCTGGACCGCGCCGCCACTTCGCTTAGGGGGGTAGCGCGCGCGCCACGGACAAGGACGGAGCCGGCGGTCGCGCGCGCGCAAGGTGCACGGGATATATGGGGTGAACCGATATAGGGAAGCGAAACTGGAAATTGGGTAATTCCTTCTGACAGAGACAAGCACGTACATGTCGACGGGAAAACGGAAAATAAAATAATCGTTTTTAAATAAAGATTTGTTTTTTCGAGAAACAAAATGTTCGCGAGTTTTACAATTATTTTGACGGAATTTATTTTGCTCGTTTGGTGCTCATTTATTTTTGTCACTTCACGCTGAGAGATTTGAAACTGACGGAATGTTAATTTTATTCAAGTTGTCGCATAAAACGAGAAGAGATATGACAAAAAAACGAAATAAAAATTTGTCGCTAAAAATTATTGATCATTGAAGTAATCAAATGTATTTCCGGACACCCTGTATGTAACGAAAGAGCAAGAGAGCGAAAGAACTGATCCGACTAGGGATTGATGATGCGAAGGAAGGGCGAAAGGGAAGCGAGACGGATGTACAGGATCCGCGAGCGGAAATGGACCTGTAACCCGGAGGGAGAAACGAGGAGGGATGCAAGATTGAAAGGTGATACAAGGAAAAATTGGCGAGGAAAGATAGTCATAAGAAGAGCGGATCAATGTTTTATCGTGACGGATGACGCGGTGTCAATGCTGTATGGAAGCGAATCCGCGTGGAGAGATCGGATCGAAGGACTTTGGAAAATTTGCTTGAAAGAAGCAAAATTGTAAGAAGGCGCAAATTGTTACGAGGATAGATTCAAGGATATGTCGGAGATAGACTCAGGTTGAATACGTTCGCTCGAGGGGAAGAGCCTTCGAGTAATCCAATCGAGCGGAAATAGAGAGGGGAATGTGGGTTGACGAAAAGGAACGTGGAGTAATTCGCGGAGAGGCATGAGATCATCTCCTCTCAAAAGAGGAGACGAAAGAAAAAAGGGGAAAGAATACGAATAGAGAAATAAATTTATTCACTCGCGCGCGCGCGCGCGCGCGCGTACACACACACGTACGCGCACGTTTTCAAAAAACTACTTCACCTTAAAAAAACATTAAAAAAAAAACTCCTTTAAGTGTAAATATTCTATTGACAAAAGAAACATTCGCACAATTAAAAAAATTACGCGGTGGAAAATTGAGACGTCGAGCAAGCGGAGATCGAGGAAAATAAACACACAGAATGCGAAAATGCGCAAAAAGAGTAGGGAGAAAAAAGGAGATGAAGCCGGGGGATGAAAGCGAGAGACAGGGACATAACATGTAGGAGGGTTGGCATGTCCACGTGCGGGGGGAGGGGATAGCCGTATTGATCTGTTCGCGCAAACTCCTGGTCCTTAGGCTCCCTCCCGCAACCAGAACCCGACTCTCGCCCCCGCTTGTCGCCACCCTCGCTCTGCTCCATTCGCAGCTGCCGAATGCGCGCTCTGGTCCCGTATAGCCTTCCGAGGTTTCAATCCTCCGCGTTGCTCTCGAACGAAACGCCCAATTGATACTCGTTTATTCTTTGCCCCCTTCTATTATTCTTTGACGTTGAACTTCTGTTTTTTTTATCTCACTTTAATCTTTCGCTTTATGCCGAACGAACAAATGTCATCGGTCGAAAGTGTCTTTTGAAAGACACAGCGCGATTATAATCTTCTTCGACAAATAACTCGAGCATGGCGAATTAATTCGCAACGTGCTAATTGCTAATTCTCTTCCTCTGCCAACCAATCTTTTGGCTTTGAAGACCCTCATTACGGTTCTCCGCCGCAATCGCGACTCTCTCTCTCTTTGGGTCTCTCTTATTCCGAACGAGATAATCGACGATGACATGTAATCGCGTATTCCGCCACGAGGTCGTTGAAAGCAATAAAACGCGGAATCAGAAGACGACTTTTATCCAACATGCGATTAGGTCGTATCCACGACGGCGGCAGCTATGTTAAGTACCATCGCCCACGGTGCAAAATTAACGTTCCGGAAGATATACGCGTGACGATGTTTTCAATTTATTGCGCGACAAGATCGAGTGAAAAAGAAGAAGAACGACGCAATTACGCTAAGCCACCTTGAAGAGTGAGCGCCATGAATCTGTTCCTTGACAAAAAGATGACTATCTCAAGAGACGCGGACTGACACGCTCGCATCAACGTCAATAACAACTCTCCCTCATACGCGTCCGCAATGACGTGACTAGAATTTATGTTACCCCAGTATCGCACGCAAGTCTGAAGATCTGAACTACGCGAAATTTTCGACGAAAAATGGAAAAAATTGAAGACGAGACAGTTATTACGAAAAGTGTGCGCAAGGATGAGAAATTCAAAGGATTAAAGTCAATTTCTGCTTTCGAGATCTCTATAGGCGATAGTCAACGATAACGATCATTTCTTTTAATTTACCCAATTTTGAAGAGACCGAGAAGGAGGATAGGGTTAATTACGCTGTGCGCGCGATAGCGCGTTAACGACGTTGCGGTATAGCGGCGTGAGATCAGCGTTTCGAGGGAGAGGGAACCGATTCCGATTGCGTTCAACAAGCTATATCGTTTTCGACCGTGGGTCGGCGTTTAATTAAATGTTGGGGGGCGTCGAATGCGGTCCAATGGGATACCGCTGAAAGTGTTAGGTCAGACGCGGACGAAGAGAGAAATAAGGTAGGAATAAACGGAAAAAAAAATCGGAAAACAGTCGAGGGAAACGTCACGGCAAATTAGTGGCGCACAAGCGATCACAAGAAAGAACAATTGTAGAACGAACGGAAAAATCATCGAGAACGAAGTGAGAAATGGGGAAGAAAGGAAGTAGAAATGTCTCTTCGAGAGATGACGACATCATTCTCAAGAACATCTTGTTTTGTATATAAAATAAAAATGATATTTTATTATTTTTCAAAAATAAAAAAATGAAAACAATTTATTGAAAATATAATATACATGTAAGATAGAGAAATATAAATATTAGATTGATGCAAAAAACCTGATTCTTCACAAAGATCTATTTCAAATAAAGTTGTTGACTTTTATAAAAGGAAGTTTTTTTTTTTCAAAATCGGTCACGCAAAACTTTGTTTTCAAATAAAAAAAAAAAAAAGCACAGTGAGAATCAATGACGAGATTGATTTTTTTCTCTTATTGTGATTAATAAAAATTAGATTTGCCACCCTGTTTTTTCTGCTCTGATTTTCTACTTGACGACGAAGCTTTTGCATCAATCTCATACATCATAGAAAACGTCGAGTACATAGTTTTTAATTCCATTATTTCGAGCATCTCCTGTGATTTTTATCGTAATAACACGACATTTAACAACTAAACAAATTAACGTCTTCAAAAAAATGAAGAAAAAAAATTTTCCAACACGATAAGATTTATGGCACGGCGCGCGCGCACACACATGCGCATCAATAAATATAATACTCTCTAATTGTTTTTGTCGTTGCTTAATTATCTAAATTACAAAATAGTTTTCTTTTTTTTTTTTTTATTTCAGTTTTTGTTCTAAGATATGTTACGACATTTCGCTCAGCGAAATTATTCATTCAAGTAAAGTTACGTTTGATTTGGTTTCGGCGGAAAGTAAACGGATCGGATCAACATCGAGGTCACCGACGGCACCTGTTTCTGATCGTGCATACTCGTGTCGTCGGGATTGTTGGACGCGTACTCGGTGGCGACTTTTCGCGCAGTCATTGTCAGCATGCTCATCAAATCCAGCTCCGTCCCGTACTCGTCCAGAATACTACACAAACATTGTATATACCACGTGCCCTCTATGGGATTTCTCCAGGTATAAAATCCTTGAAACAAGAAAATTATTTATTGAACATTTCTGAATTTTTATCGACCAAGAGAATTTCTTTAATTTTTATTAAATGTATGTTCGTTTTATTGATCCATCGTGTTACTTCGCGCGTTTATACCTTGCACCGAGCTGTGAGCTATTAAGAAATCCGCGTGCGTGGGAATTTTGTAAGACGCCACACTGTCGGTTTCCGATCCCAATGCGCTACGTGGGGACAGTACAACGCCGCCGTCGAGTTCGTCGCCTCTGCACGCCTGGAAGAAGTCGAACGGAAATTACCGGATTAAAAACAGACAGAAACAAACTTGAAGAAATATAATTTAGAAAAAAAAAAAAGAAACATATTTGAAGAGAGAGAGAGAAATATATTTATAACTTCAAAACAAAAACGCGACTTGAAAATGTAAAGGCTGCTTCACCTGAAAGAAGAACAGTTTCGGCTTTCCCGCGAGCGTATTACATCTGTTTGCCGTGAACGGCTTCCAGATTTTGTCAGACTTGTAAGCGGCGTCCTTCGCGCATATCAGGTCGTTGTGAAATCCGTGAGTTAGCACGATAATGCAGATACAGTCGTTGTCTGTGTGATCGAGCCCGCTGACTGTAACATACAGGAAGACAGAGAGAGAATTAACATTGCAATTTTAATTCGCGATTGAATTTCTTCTCTATTTTAAATTTAATTTGACACTGCTCACGGTTATCGATCTCAGTCATAACTTCCATGTGATTCAAGTCGTTGTGCACAAGAACCTCGAAGCCGAGCTTCCCGAAGCTCTTTTCCAGTTTTACGGCGTCCGTCGACGAGCCTTCCCGCTTGTCGAAACCCATGTCGAAATGCTCGTGATTGAAGATCACGCACTTGCCGCGATTTTTGTGATTCATATTGTAACAGTCCGCGTCTTTGAGAACGGACGTCTTGATCGCGGCCGAAGTGCTCGGCGAAGAAGGTCTGAAATAAAAGAAAAAAACACAAGATTTGCGTCCACGATGAGAACATTAGCAAAAATTCAGCAGCAAAAATCGCTCTATTTCTGTTTGCGCATTATATTATTTTTAAATCGGGCTAAAGCGCCAAACGCGTTTTATAAATCAAATATAATTTTTTACTCGGTAACAAAAGTGTTCTCCTCGTCGAAGGCTGGACGAACGTTCACGCGAGCGTCGTGAAAGTCCGATTTCTTGATCCAATCGCTGGTAGCAATGTCCACTTTATCTAAGAATTTCTCACGTTCCGGCGATGTCTAAAAGCAACAAGAACCGGCAAAATTTTCACATCTATTTGTAATTAAAAAAAATACATATACTATATATCGCAGAAAAAAGAATGCAATATACCACGTATTGGTGCGATATTTTTTTTATCGAGAAATATTTACCTGGTACATCGTAACGAGAAAAACATTGCTTACTTGATCGTAAATGTACGTACGTAGTAGCCAGAACAGCTAGAGAGAGATTTACTCCGTTGTCTTGGATGAGTTCCGCTCGAGGGAGACAAAAAGAAATCCGCGCCGATGGAGTCTATCACCGAATTGGATTTAGTTTTTCGTTCGTCGGGAGATACGGTGGACGAACCGACACTCTCGAAAAACCCCTTATCGTCGTCCGTCTGAAAGCAAATAGAGTTTATATTATTTATTTTACTCACTCAGCTGAAAAGTTTCTTTCTTAGTTTATTGCTGCGTTAAACAAATTAAAAGAGAAAATAACTCTGTTTTTTTTATTTGATGTAATTGTATTTAATAAAGATATGAAAACAAACATGTTTTTTGTTTGTACTACAAGTAGTACTTTTTCATTTTGAGATGAGTAATCACTGAATTTTTTTTTTATGCGCGCAGAATTGCGCAAAGGGATGTAAAAAATTGTATCGATAACAATATACTTGAGAAACAATGCGAAAGTCTCGGATATCTGTTACACGGCAGTGAAGAGGTTTCGCGCACCCCATTTTGCATCGCGAACTCGTATCGACAGCGTCATTAGTATTAATTTAGAGATAAAATCAATTTTCTGCTTATCTATATTCATCGGGATAATCTAAAAAGAAAGTCGACCGATAACGAAATAAATTATCCAAGTGCAACAAAGCTGGATACCGCGATAAAAATATATACATGTATATTGCAATCTGTTTCAGACTTCACCGAATTAGTCATCCATCTTTCCAGATTAGAAGAGAAGTTTCGTCAGTATCGCGATAATAAAATAAGTATGGTCGTCTTTGTTAATCGTTTAAATAAATTGGTTTTGTGTATTTCTCGTTGCCCTCCGATGCTGCGGGAGGCAAAAAATTACAGCTCGAATGTCCGCCACGCTTCGCGCAATTTCTACTCTAACGCGAATCGAGAATTTTTAATAAAAGATTAAAATTTATACGTTTTTTTCTTTCAATTTGCGCTCGACATTTGTGTTCAACATTGATAAATTTTCAAGTTTTTACGTCGTATTCCGAAGTTCTTTTTTGTAACGCGTGTTAAACGTACAATTAGATTTTTTAGGGAGAATATCGTTTCATCAATCGTATTTGAAGTTTAACAACTTCAAAGATAGTATATTTAGTTTTGTGATTTTCACGTCACTTCTGATAAACATCGATTTCGATACTATTCACGTAAGCGTGCCGAAAACATTCTCATTCGCAACAAAGAAATTTGTGCGATTGATGTAAACACACGTTTTCGATTGATGCCGACTTGATCGCAACGATTTCAATCACCAGAGATTCTCAGTTTGTTATTATAAAATTTAATGCGTCGAAATTTTGAAAATTTATCAAAACGGCAAGTTTACTTCAAAAATTATGTGCCGGTTTCGCGACCCTCACGCGGTTCTTTGTTACTTGACTCCCGACTCTCACCTGTGCGTTGACATCGTCGCATTTGATTGTCGTCAATGACTCCATATCGCAAAATATCACACACCGAGACAAAACAATTCGAGTCTTCACTTCCGTTGGAAGCTGAACGCGTTTCTTCTGTGTCGTCGAAAATTTCACGGAGAGAGCGACGTTTGAATCACGAGCGTGTTCAAGAAACGACTGCGAAACGATCTCATGCCGACGATTAAATTCATCGAGCACTACGAACTTCTGCCATGCGGTATCGGCTTATCAGTTTTTATCACGGTTGATTTCTATCACGTCCGTTCGAAGCGTTGCTGCGATTGTCGATACGTATTCTTCTTTTCGTAATTCTATATCGTATATTGTCACGCGTCGATGTTTATGGTTAATGACGCAATGATCGCCGAGACCTTGAGAAGGTTGTCCTAGCTAACGCCGTTGTAAACAGTAGGGCTGTGATAGTTTGTTAAAATTCACGAGACAAAATTCTAGTTGTTAAATTTTATGTATTTTGTGCGCATTGCGACTTATACATGTTTATGTATTCTGTGTGCACACACATTTCTTCTACTTTCTAAATATGATTTTGTATTATAGAGAAGTTATATATATATATATATATATAAAACTATAAGCCAATGTTTTTTTATTTACATACAAAAATAATTCATGCAAACAAAATAGTTGATATCAAAAAATAATTTATAATATAATTAAATTAAAACATGTTCATATAATTATATAAATAAAATTTTTTATTGTCTGTATTTTAATTATATTTGCAATATATTTGCGATATTTTGTTCGTATTTGTTGCTTCTAAGTAGAAGGAGAAATCTAACAGACACTTTGGTTTAACAACCGCGCATTGATAAATAAATAGAGGAGATGCTCCAAATTCTACTCTCAGGAGCACGAATATATGTGAACATGTTTTCTAGTTTTCTTTACGTGCTTTTCTTCTTTTTCATCCGCTTCTTTATATTATAGAAGCAATATTTAAGAAAAGAGAACATCTTTGCGCGTATAGCGCAGCGATAATCAATCTTTCAGGAACGTAGAAAAGTGCAAACACAGGCGTCGAAAGTTTGCAACTACATTTATAGGAACAGCCGGCAAAGTTAAAACGCGATAAAAAAATTATGTATATATATTTTGCTGTGATTCGTTTTATTTCAAATAAATAAATTTATTTAAAAATAGGAATCCTTTTTCCAATCTATTGCATACTTCACTGAAGAGTTTTCGGGCGCCAACATAAGTGAATCTTTCTTTAAGAACATTATTGCTGTGAGAGAGAGCTGTTGACAATGACCACGCAATAAAAACACTATTTTTGCCAAGTGTCATTCACTGTCGTTCGCGGTAAACGACAACAGTTAATGACACTCGGCCAAAATAATTTCACGCGCAATTACGCGAAAAGAAGAAATTTGAAACGATTGGTCGCTCGTTGGCGGAAGGTCGTCGACCAATTGGGCGCACCTGTCGTTGCAATATTGTAGTTCACAGTTATATAGTTTCTGCTGCCATGTTTCTCTGCTTACATCCTCCGCGGAGAATCGCAAGGAAAACTCGAGTGCAGCCAGCTGTGAAAGTGTGAGTGGAGCATGAGTCAACAAAACGAACACTTTTCTTCAAGTATTTGCATTTACATTTCACAATTCCGCACGTTCTGCTGCTGACTGATCATTCCAGTTGGCACTCTTGTTGAAGAAAGTCGTGTACTAGTTATTTGCTATCTGCTATGTTCGTAAGATTACAGGTAAATAAACAGAAAAAAAAAAACATTTTATATATATATATTTAAATACATATTGAAGTACAAATATAGTAAGTTGTGGCAAATGCTTTCTCTGACACGATCTGGCGCGTAAAAAATTCCATAAAAATCGATTGCCTCATTCGAATACATTATATAAACAACAGCTGACAATGACAGCAATCAAACATCACGCTAAAAGCATTTTTTTTATTGAAAGAAGTTTTTGTCACATGAGGAAAAGACAGTAACTTGCACAATTTTCATCTTCATTACATCCTGATAATATCTCTTTTGAGTTAATACAAATATATTTGACGGTATACAATTATACAGGTTAGCACGTACATGTATACATTGAGTACACGTACATACACATATTTATTTTCCAGTGGAAGTCGCACCAGGAATAGAAGATTTCAGAGTTTCTGACTCGATCATCATGTCCATCTTGAGCAAACGTGTCAGTACGAATCCTTGTTTGGATCCCAAAGGTTTTTTTGGAATAGACGAAGCATGCCTCAGCATTCTAAACGAATACAACAGATCTGTCACGTTCTATTCTTATCCGACAGAATGTTACATGGTTTGTGTAAACGTTGTCAAACAAACTTTGAAACTAACTAACTGTTGAAACAATAATGTTCATTTTAATTGCAGTGCAATGGCGTGCCGCGGACTTTAACTGCGGGCAATAACACATTGGTTGTGTCCACAAAATATCCTTTGCACATGTATTACAAGGATAAGAATGAATTTTGTCAGTAAGTTGGAAATATATACAAAAATATGCCGCATAATCGTAGAATGATTTATGACATTTTATTGGAATTCTTGGTGAAATGTGAAAATTGATACTTGTAGCACTACGTACAATTTTAAGGAACGCGGAAGTTATGGATGGAACATTTCTGAAAAACAATTATGCTCGGAGATTTACACGATTCACGAATCAATAAACAGTTATCTTCGTAAGTTTTTGTTTTCAATAATTTTGCGTGATCTTAGTTCATCAAGCTGATACTAATCGCAATTGTTTTTTTTTTTTCTTGCAGCAATATTTGTTGCTTTTGCAATATTTGTTCTGGCAATAATTTTATCTATACTCGCCAGATATATTATACATGTAATAAGACGATTTCCATTTTTTGACACAACACCCGTAAGTGAAACAAATTATATATATTACACATTATATTAGATATGGAGATATATTTATAATATGTTTTCACAGATTGTGGAAAGAACATCACAATCGGAGACATCGTATTCTTTAGGAACAAGCAGAACTTGTACTAGAATTCGTTCTATCGACACTTTTCGAGGGTATGTTTTACGTTAGATTAAAATGATACAAAGAGATCTTGTATTAAATATGAGAAAAATTGTTTCAGAATTGCTATATTATTGATGATATTTGTTAACAATGGCGGCGGCAAGTACACGTTCTTTAACCACAGTCCGTGGAACGGGTTGACAATTGCAGATTTGGTGTTACCTTGGTAAACTATCGTCTTCATTTTATATTATCAAACTATATCGCATTCTGTTTTCAATATTTTGGACAATCTTATTTCCTAGGTTTGCCTGGATCATGGGAGTTTCGATTACTATATCAAAACGGTCGCAACTGCGCGTGGTGAGCTCACGCTGCAAGATCATTTTACGTTCCCTGCAACGCTCGTTTATGCTCGTACTTCTCGGACTGATGTTGAACTCGATTCACACGAAATCTCTGAAAGATCTTCGATTTCCCGGTATTCTTCAATTACTCGCCATTTCGTTCTTCATTTGCTCCACAATCGAGACCGTGTTTATGAAGGTGCACTCCGAGGTTTGAATTGCAGCTTTACATTGTGTGTGTGTGTGTTTACATGCGTTTTTACTTAGCACCCATCTGATTAATAATCTCCTAGGACGACCTGTTACAGTTCGGTCGCTTCTCAAAACTACGAGATATCTTGGAGAGCTGGCGACAGTGGTTGATTGTATTAGGAATCGTAACGACGCATACCCTCATTACATTCCTGCTGCCTGTTCCGGACTGTCCGAAGGGATATTTGGGTCCGGGTGGTTACCACCACTTCGGAAATTTCGAAAATTGCACTGGAGGCGCGGCTGGTTACATAGACAGATTTGTTTTCGGAAGTCACATGTACTATAAAACACAAAATCCTGTGTATGGAACCATTTTGCCTCATGACCCCGAAGGTATATCAACACTGTTGTTTGTCACGAGCATTTCAATGTCGCAAATGCTATGAACTAATGTAAATTCATAACGTCATCATTTATACATAGGCATACTGAACACTCTGTCTATCATACTTATTGTGTACATGGGTGTTCATGCTGGAAAGATCTTGTTACTGTACTACCAATGCAACGAAAGGGTGGTCCGCTGGTTGCTGTGGTCAGGTATAACGGTAAGTTTTGATCTTTTATAGGAGAATATGATTGTAGGAAAATAATTACATTGTTAATAATTGATTACTGACGTGTGTTTAGGGCATTATTGCTGGAATATTATGTAACTTTGACAAGGAATCCGGAGTGATACCAGTAAATAAGAAAATGATGTCGCTCTCATTTGTTCTGACTACATCATCTTTTGCATTTTTGCTGTACGCGATCATGCACTTCTTTGTCGATTACAAACGATATTGGAGCGGAGCTCCATTTAATTACGCAGGTCTGTTGACGACGCTTGTTAATATCTACGCTTTGTCATGCGATTAAAATGAACAGATATTTAATATCCTGAGTGTGTCTTACGTTTGGTTTATAGGTCTGAATCCAATAACGCTTTATATCGGGCACACTATCACCATGGGTCTCTTTCCGTGGGCTTGGAAAATGCCTCATCCTACGCATTGGTCGTTTCTTACTATGAATTTGTGGACTACAGTATTATGGAATGTCATCGCATATTGGCTTTACATGAAAGATATTATTATATCTATTTAAAACACAAAAAACAGCTATTTTATACGTAATCAAGAACCGTGTTGTTGAAATCACAAAAACAAACGTATGAGGCGCGCGTTGAATAGAGTAAGTTCAGATACTAACATCTGATGCGATGCACGGTCTTGAAAAAAAAATGTATTACAATAATATACTACAAGAACGAGTATTTATAATGCGATAAAAGACATTACAAAGTCTCGAAAAAGACGATTACTTTTTGCGACAATGTTAATGTTTTGTATTCAAACATAAGTGGAATTTTGTATAAAACTAAATAACTAATGCGCTGTTTTATTTTTAGCATACACATAACATTAATTTTTCAAGCACTCTTTTTTTTTTAATTGCAATTATATATCGGTTTTTTTCCGAATTAAATCGTGTGATTTTTTCATATTAATAATTTTAAACATTATAAATACATGAAATACATATTACAATATATTTGTGTAAATAAATTATCAGTTATAAAAAAATATTATATCGTTTAAACATTTCTATCTTTTGGCTCTTTGTACGGCAAACCCAAGATCTTAAAAATATCTTCTTCACACGTAATTTGTACAGGGTCTCCCGGACAATCTGAAATAATATATAATATCTTTTTTTAATACTAACCACGAAATATTTTAAATTATTCTACTTTTACATATTTCATGCAAATCTTATACCTTTTGCTGTAAGAGGTTTCAGTGTGTATTCATTCAGAGTGTATTTCTTCTCCAATGCATGTGCTCTCATATTCTGATTGAACAGATCACTTCCCGTGAAATAAAGTACAGCGCAGTAATATTGATCGTGATATGTGAGACGTATGTCCAACCTTCTGAAAGGTTTATCCTTCGACAATTGACATACTCCCTACAAATTTGTAACAATTTGCACACTTGAAAATTTCTTGATTAATTTTATTTCAGTATTATTTTTCAGTATTTTACCATAAATTTACTGCTTCCAAGAGAGAGTGTGTCTGTAATCAACCGTTTCTTTTCAAAACAGGCAACAATTGCTTTCAATGATACAGTTTTTTTCTTAGATGTCGATATATAATTAGGATGTGTTATGAGAACATCAATATCTCCACTTTCTTCTTTGCCACGTCTGTAACTCCCACAGATGGTTATGAGATAATCATTGTCCAATTCTTTTATGACATTCTTCAATATCTTCTCGATTTGTTTAATTTCTGCTCTGGGTATTTTTTTCTCAAAATCATCGAAGTACCGTAATCCAAGTTTTTGATGATGTGTGAGCTTGTTCTGATGTTTCTTGAGTTCTTCCAATGTCTTGATGCCAGCATCTACTAATTCCTTTGCTTTTGCAGGACCTATGCCCGATACTCTGGCCAACAAACTTATGGCAACATTATTTTCATCTTTTTTAATCTAAAAAAAAAAAAATTCTCGTCTCTGTTAAGAAGAGATAAGTGTAAAACAATAATAATAATTCACATACATCTTCTAATTTTTGCAGTTTCCCTGTTTGAAGAAATTCGTCTATCTTCTTTGCAATTTTTACTCCAATTCCAGGCAATTTCTTTGCTTCCTCTCCACTTTTGACTCTCTCAGGCAGAGCACTTAACGTTCCAGCTGCTTTGCGATACGCGTTGTATTTGTAAACATTCTTGCTGACATTTCGTTCGTAATCAGCCAATTCTGTATACGTATTTTATTTATATTGCACGTAATCGTGTATATCGTTATGACACAATACAGTTTTTGACACAATGAAAATAGTAATTGTTTTTAAATTGAAAGATCAATTATATAATTTTTACCACACGCAATTTTGCAAAACAACTTACCCGTCAAAAAGTCACACAAATCTTGATTTGGATTGTTTGCGCTAGTCGCGGCTTTTCTCTTACCCATTATTTGAGGTAGAACACGATAGAGATTTCGAGAGAATATTCGGTTCAGCTTGTTACTTATAAATTTCGTTCAGCATATAAATATTGTTGTTGTGTTGTACCGGTTACTTCGAGTGTTTACACTCGAGCCGAGATGCGCAGTTAACCAAATATTCTCTTCTAATCCGTTATCAGCATCAGCATCGTCAATGTTCCTAACGCTACACAACTGGATCGTCCCATGAACAAAGCGCGCTTTTACAGAATCTTATTTGTTCAGTAAACCGTTGTTATATATTTCATAGCATGGGAAAGAAAGGGAAAAATGAATAGATTTGCATATCCGTATTTATTCCACAAGTACGTGTTTACACAAGTTGACAAGGAAATATCATAGATTGATTTATTTAACTACGTATACAGTTTTTTTTTTTTAGATCTCTTTATCTTGCAACATGATACAATAAAATTTCTCTTCTTGTGAAGTATACAAACCAACACGTAAATTCTCTCTTCCTATGTGTTACATCATATTAACAATGTGTGATAATTCAAACACACTGAATACTCTTTTCATATTATTTATTACAGCAGAAAGATAAATTTGATTATTATGTGTATAGAAAATAACAACTGCACAAATTCAGGCTTTGGCATCACAATCTTTTTAACTTGTCACACTAGCTTAGTATATATATACGCTATTGTTTTCACTAAGAAATTAATAATCAACCTTCAAATGTCATGATTAGAGTAAAACTAAGATATATGTGATATATAATCTACAGAGAGAAATTTATATAAGATGAGATTGCGTCTTCACTTATAAACTACGTAAAAAAAATTAGAGAGAATTCTTAATACTGGATATTAGAATATTAAAACAAGTGTCACCAGTATAACAACGTATACTTTTTACTGGTTCTTAAAATCAAACAAAGGAATGGTTTCAAGTAAAAAAACAAAAAGAAATACAAAATTGTAAAAAAATAAATATACAGAAATATGCGCACTCTTTGACTTATATCTAAAATCTACAGTTTTAGATATATAAGGAATTTAAATTTGACTTAGATTAGAGATTCCGCGGACATATTGAACTTCGTTCATTGCACGATGTCGATTGAAATCGTTTGAAATCGACTATTCTGGTCAATAAAACAAGTTTGGCATTGCACTGTCACATGTTCGATTGTACATCTATGTGAATGACGATTCTAAGTATTTGACACATAAGTACTCTCTTGCAAAAATTAGAAGTGGAAATTTCTAATTTTCTCGGAATGTAAACTATCAGTCTCGTGATATAGAGTTTCGCACAGGGAATGTTTGGCAATAGCTAAGTCTTCTGGACGGTTCTTTGTATCTACATCATATCTAACTCGCGCGCACGAATGAAAAGAGTGAGCAGTAGAAGCCCCAACATCTTAAAGATGTTTGAGTTTGAACTTGGTTATTTAAATTTGGTGTATTTGATTTGATTTTATCAATCGATCTGTTACGTCTCTACGATTTATCGTTGCTATCCTTTGTAAACTCGCAGATTGCATCTGTCTAGAAGAGGATCTTTCCGGATCAAACCGGCTTTGTATCTTTCCGGAAGATTGCTCGCTACGTAACTTCTTGCGTAACAGAAACAGTTGAACTTGAAAATAATCAAAGCAAGTAAAATAGAAACTGGACCCACTACCGCGTATACGTACAACTGCGGGATTCTGCCTGGTTGCCAGAGAATTGTAAATGCGACGGTTTTTCCTTGAGTATCTGTAACACACGTGTGTGTCAATTGTCGACGCATTAGAATTTTGAAAACTTTACGCAACTTACCTATATAGGCAAGCCCGTATCCCGTGTCCGGTGTGCCCATTCTGTACGAACAGGTCGGTATTTGCACTTCGTGAATGTCTCCCACGTCCACTCTCAGCTCGTACAGCATCATTCCTTGCTGCGGACGAATACAACCCGGATAACTCAACTGATCCGTCGCCGTGTCCAGACTTTCGTGCGCCGCGTGGTGTGTATGAGCGGTAAAAATTACCTGAGGTGTTAACTCTTCAAGTACCTACAACGAGACACACACACATACAATAAATTATATTAAATATTCAGTTGATAATTTTTGTAATGTTTGTACATACACTTTGCACAAAACGATCGGGCATAGACAGTAAAGGAACATGGCTGAGAATAACATTTGTTATATTTCTTTCCTTATAATCATTCAGAAAGGCATCTTTTGGCGCTTTTGGTATTGTACGTGTCAGTCTGTTAACCTGAAATGCTACGAGTGCTAATTATTTCTCGAATTTGATAAGATCACGTGAATTAAGGATCTCGTGTTTACCTTGAAAAACGTAACGGATTTGTAAACCAACGTGTCTGGTTGAGTATATGCGAAATTAAATCTTTGAAGAATGCCCGGAGAAACGGAATCTTCCTCACCTCCGATGTCATTGTCTCCTGGTATATAAATTTTCTACAAAAAAACAAAACAGATTGACGCAAACCAACAAGTAAACCGAACTGAACAAGAAGACAATTTTAAGCAATTGAAGTACCATTATGTTATCTGGTGTCGAAAATATTGAATCTAGTCTTTTTTTATATTTTTTGAACTCGTCTAGAGTAGCTATGTGACCCTCATCCATGAGGTCACCAAGAAAGGCAATAACATGTGGCTGAGAATGTCTGAGTGCTCTTGAGAATGTTTCTTCTAAGTACCTAGAGGCAAAACAATTTGAAGCAAAACTTGAGATCAAGTTCCACACGTGCAAACATTTTCAGTACAAGTTCTTCTTTCCATGAACAAGTTCTTCTTCAATTGACATGTGCGATAAACTCAAAAGACAAATTTGTCTGAGACTCATACCTGTCGCTATCCCATATTGCCACAGACGAACCAAAATAATTCTCATTTCTTTCCCCGAGTATTTGCGGATCTGCTACAAGAAGAATTCTGACACAATCCGAGCATTCGTACGTTCTCCACATCCACTTTTGTATCTCGTACACAAGAACTTCATTGTAAAATATTGTTATACAATACAACGCAAGGAATCCAATGTATAACAACCGAAGCTTCAATCTGTTCAAATTACGCATTTTTACATATCTACAAAAGACTCTCCAAACAAAAGGGGTTTAACACGTATCATGTAAAATTACCTATCTCGCCTGTTTTTTAACATTTTCTATAAATTTGTTCAATATTACACAACGTTGCGCACATGAAAGGTATCGGCGCGGCTCTTCCGAGTTCACATTATCATCAGTCTTGTTTGAACTCTCCTTACACAGCGCGATAATCTGAAAAAACGAATGTGATGCAAAAGTTAATAACAAAGTATACACCAGAGAGAGATGTGCACTTATATCCCCTTATATGTTGCCAGAACATAAATTTCCAGTGTCAGCGTTACATCTTATCGCGTCACATAATGCACCACACGTTCGATACGTTGCGTCAACGAAATAAATCGTTAGTGTGTGATACGCGCATGTTAAGTATGTTTGAAAGAGGAAAACGTGCGTTTACAAACCAAAATGCCGCATTGTTCGGTTCGCTGTAAACAAGTCAAGCCAGAAAGAGACGACGATTCCTTACCCGAAATATTGCTCTCTCTTTCCAATATCTTCGTGCGCACCTCCACCACCTCCGCAAGGACTGTACAGCTATGCAGCTGTCAAATATCCCCCCACTTGTCCTATTCTCACAACGCGCTTCAACGTGTAAAGCCAGTTCCACACAAGCGCAAGACGCAAACGCAAGTCGCAAGTCCCGTAAAATTGAACCAATCGCATTGATCGAATCAGCCAATCGATTGGTCAATTCCACGAGAGAACTGTGGCTTGCGGTTGCGTCTTGCGGTTAATGTGGAACGGGCTTAATGAGAATCGACAGCGCCTCCGTGGCGGAAAAGCGAACCATAAAAGCCGCCAGCAATGATTTTTCGATTCGCGCGCGTCGTTGCGATGGTGGTTGTATTTTTTTTTTTTAATTAACGGAGACGCGGAAGTGTTTTGCGGGAGTGTTTTTGATATTTCTCGAAGATCTTTTTACTTAGAAGTGGAATGACTGAATTTTTCGACTTCAACTTGAATTAATTCGTTCGAGTAACTCCGGTAAAGCGATCGCGTTGAAATGGTGGTCAATGCGATTCGATGACAAAGCTGATCGAACTCCAAGTTGCGTCAAACTCATTCTAAGGTAATTTTTTTAGTATGTAAATTTGAATTGCGGTTGACGCACGATAATTGTTATTTACTGAAAAACACGTATCTTTACTTTCTCGCGTTACCGCTAGATAGCATATGTCGTTCGTCGGCCGTACACACGTACGTACACACACACACACGTGTACAAGATTTCGGGTTCGATAGACGTAGTATACTATTCTCCGGTTTTAAAACCAGAAATTGAAAATTATAATCTATTTTTTTTCTAATGTTAGAATAAAAAGAAACACGAGACTAGTTAAAAAATCATTTCTGCTTTCATAAATTTTGAGAAATAATTATACGTAGTCTTTAAATACCAATGTCAAGATTTTTCATTTTTTTGTTGCTTACTATGTTTAGAAACTTTTTTAAAAATGGTTTTCACTTTTAACGCAAGGAAAAATGTGAGCAAAGTAAATAAAAAAATCCCAAGTGTTTATTACACATAATAATGTAATTAATATTGTGTATTTAAAAATTCTCTGTCTCTATATATCTGTCTTGAAATGCAAATAAATATGTCAAACCGTATAAATATAATATTGTTTTTTAAAGCAGCTTTGAGTGCTCTTTACAAATGGATGAGTTTTTCTATCGCATCTCAAAGATATTGAAAAAAAAAAACTAGTTAACTGTCTATTTATTTTGCACAAAGATGATGTAGAAATGTTGCACGTTGATACATAGTCCAATTAAAATTGTTATAATTTTGTTTATATCGGTTCGTTAATGACCGAACCGTATTACAGAATTTACGGGCTAATTAAGTAACACCGAGTTTGCGTTCGGACTTTAAAAATGAATAAGACGCGATACGGTCTAGTTTCTAACGACGGGATATTGTCTTACATTACACTGTCTTGTTTTATTTCCATATCGATTTCTAAGTAGTCTACATCCGAACTGTAGATTACATGATCTTATAACTAATGTATCTCCATTTTCGCTGTTGCGTATATCGCATTTTATCGATTCTTCTTCGAAGAACGAGAAAGCTGAAACGAGAGATTGTTTCTTTTGTAACAAGAAATCGTTCGATAACTACGTAATTGAACAACCTAATGTCGCGATATCAAATTCTTTTTTTTTTTTTTTCGCAACTCGATTCTTCTTCACAAGAGAAGATTAATTTCTACTCTGATTGTTACAAAAATTATTCACATCAACGCAATGTAATAAAGTCTGTTGCGATTGTAACGACTAATACTCGTTACAATGGCGCGTGTAATTACCGTCACAAATTAGAGTATTGTATCGGAGAAGCTGTATTATTTATTAAACAACGCTCATCAATAACGCAATTTTCGGTAACGAATTTGTGTGTGTAAGTATACGTGTGTCATGTTCAGATATTTAATAAATAATAAAGCTTTTAGATCTGCATTATTTACCGCGGCAAATCACAGAATTCTGAAATACAAATAAATTACACACGTACTCAACGTGCAAATTTGCGTAATCACGAAACTATCGTGAAATATGAAACTTCTTTTCTTGTATTATATATATATATATATATATATATAAAAAGAACTAATAAAGCCACACATAAAAGGTGTTCGCATTTTACCCGCGCGCCAACTTGTAAGAAATAAAAAGCCACTCCGATGTACAACAGAGAGAAACGAGAACGAGGGGTGGCTTCGACTTGGTTCGCTGTTTTCTAAAGATAACCCGCAATAAATCGATGTTCTCTGTCTCTTGTTTTTTTTTTTTTTTTTTTTTTATTCCTCGTTACGTTTGATTGTGTAATGGGCCTCTGTGTGCATGTGCACACACACACACACACGCGCGCGCGCGCGCGCGCGATCGTTCCGTAACTTGTGCATACATACATGCACCGCACCCTCGGGTTGGGGATCCGCGTCCGGTGCATCTGTTGCATCCCGCACGCAGGGTGAACGCGCGCGCACCGCTCTGCCAGCGGGGGCGGCCAGAGCAACGATGGTGGTGGTGACGGTGACGGTGATGGTGGTGGCAACGGCGGCGGCGGTGACGGCGTCGATGGTGATGGTGGTGGTGGTGGTGGCGGCAGCGGTCCTCGAAAGACGCGCGGGGGTTGGAAAAACGACGAGGGAAAGCTCGTAAGCGGGCTACCGGTTACTACGTAGACGCATGCCCGCCGATAGCTCAGTGGAGCGCGCGACTTCGTGCCGTAAGCACACTTCCTGCGAGTGAATCTCTCTCTCTCTCTTTTTCTTCTTTCTATCTCTCTCGCCGCCGCTCTCTCCCTATTTTCCCGTTTCTCCGCCATATGTGTAAGTGCGGGTGCGCGTGTGCGCGCGTTTCTTTCTCGCCTCGCCCCGCTCTCCGCCTCGCCTCACCCCCGTTGTCCGTCTGTCTCCACCTCGGCCTCGCTCGTCGCCGCGAGGATGGCAGGTTCGTCCGCCGGCGAATAAAATCGGCGGTGAGCGATATCGGGGAGGAGGAGGAAGAAGGGGGGTGATAATGGTGATGATTATAATCGCGGAAGAAATGGGAGTTGCGTGAAAAAGCGCGAGGCCGCCGTGAGAGAATTTTTTTTTTTTTTCGTGCGCGAGTGAATTAAATATCAAAACAGCCGAGCGAGATAATTCGAGAAAGAGAGAGAGAGAGAGAGAAAGAAAGAAAGAGAGAGAGAGAGAGAGAGAGAGAGAGGGAGAGAAAAAGAGTGATAAGAAGAAATTGTGTGGATAGGCAAAGAGAAATCGCCAGCGAGCGAAAAGAAATTTCGAGTAGGAGTGATATTTGAAAGAGTAAGAGAACGCGCGCGCGGCGCGATGGTACGGGGTGGCAGCGAGCGGAGGTGATATTTAAACGAGGACGGAGTCTCAGAGGGAGAAAGAGAGAGGGTGCCAGTAATATCCGAAAGATCGGAGTACGTCAAGTGAAAACACGATGTAACACGTCCGTATATTTTCTCTTCCCAGATATGAAGCGAGGTGCGAATATCTTGTAAAGTGTGACGTGAATAATTTAGTTTCGCGGAAGAGAAAAAATATATATTCTCGAGAAAAATTTCGAGAGAGGAAGCTACGGCCTCTTGTGAATCTCACGTGTGAAGATCACGTCGGGAAGAAAGTTCAAAAAAAAAAAAAAAAAAAAAAAATTCGACAGCAGAGAGAGAGAAGAGCCGGAGTTCGCACGCTTATCTTCGATGTGTGAATCCAAAAGACTTCGAGAGACGTCGATATCCGCGAGCGGAAGAAGAGAATCGCGAATCGATTACTAGAAAATGTAACGATCACTCATAACCCATAATGGAGCGCAGGGAAAACAAGAGAAAGGGGTGCGTGACGTCATGAGATATGAGAAAAATGTGTCTGTTTTTCCTTATCTCGAACGCCACGCAATAAAGTCTCCGGGAATGCTTTCTCTCTCTCGAGTTCCCAACATTTTCGATTTTCCATATTACTGTACTCTCTTTCTCTCTTTTCTAGCTTTGGTATTTTTAATACTTTTGAAATAATCGTTTTCTCTCCTCGCGTTTCTCTCATCGCTCTTCCCTCATCTCCTTACTGTATTCGTGCACACGCGTGGATGCGCACGCTGCACATTCGTAGAACACACAGAGACACACACATACACACACACACACAGAGAGAGAGAGAGAGAGAGAGAGGGAGAGAGAGAGAGAGACATACACATCGATATAATCTGTACAAATAGTCGTATTGTAAAACAATCCGATCCAAGTGGTGGTCTCTCGCCACCTCTATCCGCTGATCTTTTTCACTCCCGTGACGCTACCGTTCTCTCGTCGAAATATTTACGCGCGCGGATCTGCGTTTATTTCCAATCCGACAGCCAAAACTGATAGAAAGGTCTCACCCGCCGGCTGTTAGTTATGCGAAAACCGTGACAGTCAGGCTTTCGCAGGCTTTTCCCGATCTGACACGGCCATATGAATTTTCACGCTTATGTGACGTAAAACGTCCGCTCGGGCGCGGACAAAACACGCGCTTCGCAAACGTTCTGATTTCCAACGAGCGAACGAAATTTATTGCCCGGTAATATTCTATCCTCTTCATCGCTGAAGAGGAAATGCGCGTATGTTGCGTAAGAGAGAAGTATCAGGGGGGAAAAAAAAAGATCGTGTGTGTTACGAACGAATCGAGATCGACGCGTTCGATCTGCGTTTTCGCGCCGGAAATAAATAATCGAAATCTCGACGTCGCCTTCGCGAGTGGGCGTATTCGCGAAATTCGCGAAATTGGCCGTTGGTGATCTTTTTACGAGGTGAAGCTGCGTGACTCACGCTCAAGAATTCCATTGTGCGCGGGAAGTTTGCACGCACGAACGCACGCACGCACGCACGCATCGGTTCTGCATAGCGAAGAGAACAGGCGGCTTCCAAAAATACACGTTACGTTTGGGCGTTTCGCGCGCGCGCCACGCGCGTCGATATGCAAAACGCATCGGTAATTCATGGAGAGAACGTGGCGTGGAGTCGCTCGGCAATAAAGTGAAGGAAACGCGGGAGAATTTATTAGAAATTTCCGAGCTGTAATAGGCGAGAGGAGATTACCGAGTGCTCTCCTTAATACCTTGTCGAATATAATGAAACATTCTTCGCGATGAGAAGGAAATCAATAGGCACGTACTTGTCCGTCTCTCTTCTTCTGTTCCTCTTCATTTCCTTCTTCTCGTTGTATTACCTCGTTCTTCCTCTGATATGCTACTTGTTTCTCTAAAACGCCGTCTTCGTCGCACACGAGAAAGAGAGAAAAATATAGAACCTCCTTCTTGTTAACGAATTATTCATGTAACATTCATGTTTGTTTGATGAAACAAAGACAAAAAATTGTCTCTTGTTTTCTTTGCGCTCTTCGGCGCGCGTGAACTTATGAAAAATCGAAATCAAATAAGATAGAAAATATCGAGAGAGTGGGAATACACAGTGTTTGCAGCGGAACGCGACGCGAGACGACCACAAAGCGAGTTCGAAGTGACGAGCATCGAGTGTGATCAAACGGGCGAGGCTTTTGCTCTCGAGCCACGGCTCTTCTTGCAACTCGTTCTGTTACGAGGAACATTGATATTTTGTAAACTGACATCGGCGAAGCATGATACGCGCGCGCTCGACAAGCGTCACGAGCGCGAGCTGATCCCGCGAGTCCGGGTGTTCGTGGCGAAAAGGTAACACAAATACCGAGAAACACGCTGAGGAATGGAAGCATGATTCCCGTGGCGCGGGTGCGACGTACGCGACGGAAAACCAGACGAAGAGCATCCTGAGACCGAACAAAGTCTGGCGGCGGCTCCTGACCGGGAGCGGAGATATGGATGCCCGCGAGGATGACAGGGTCGTCGTGGTCGGTCGATCGCGAGACACGAATCTGTTGACTTAACCCCCCGGTGGTCTCTGGAGAACCAGGGGGGCGGCGGGTGGTGGCGCAATCTCTCTCGGCATGTGTGTCCGGCGCGGAGCCGAAGAACGAGATCGTACTTCCGCTTCGCGAGTTGCGCGTCACGTGGGGATTCCGTTCGGTGGAATTATCGTCGTGTGACGTCACATAGTCATCCGTAAATGTCCTCGAGACACGAGGACTCGGGCCCGTTGTTGCAGTGCGTCGCGTCGTCGGCGAGATTCGATCACTTCGCACCGATTTTTCCCGACGTTTACCTCTCAGTAGCATGTGCGTGACTTCAACGTGGAAAGACAATCGCGGCAGTACAGCCCCGAAGAGATCCGGTACCGAGGGTGGTGCGAACCTGTGCCCCTGGTACGGTACCGTTTCCTGAAGGACAAGGGCGTGTGTGCGCGTTGTGTTGTTCGATCGGAAGAAGAAGAGAAAGAGAAAAAAAAAAAAAAGAAAAGAGAAACAACACGGCAAACTCGAAGGTACCCTTCGTGCGGTGGTGGTACCCGCGGCTGAGTGTCTCCTCGAATCGTAATCCGCCTCTTGTGCGAGGTGCTCGCGCGCACCATATAACGAGGCGTGCGAGAACAGCTGTGCGAATCGGTATCGAGCGATACCGTCGAAGGATGAGACAATCTCGCAGAATATCCTGAGGAATAGCGAAAGGTACGTTTTTTTTTTTAAAAAAAAGTGAAATCAAAGAGTTGACAAGCGATAAGAAATAATCCGCGTCCGCACAAAGTGACTCTATTGTATTTATTTTTTGAAATACTTGTTTTATATATATTGCGAATATATAGAGGAACAATTTCTCAAGCCTCGATAAGATTTTTACGTGAAAAGTTCCTCGCCCGTTATAAAGCCGATAATATTCTCTCGCGCGCTGAAGTATTACGATTTATGGTGCGCTTTTACGACTAAAGAAAGAGAGAAGGAGAGATAGATAGATAGATATAGAGCAAAGAGATTTTATGTTTAAGAAATTATTTATTATAATTTGTCTCCAGATAGTTTTTCATATTTTACCACACACAGCAAGAGGAAAGAAACATTTACAATATCCAACGAATATATTAATGAAACGCCTATAAAGTTCGACAAAGATGACCTATATGGGATCTTCTATTTCTTGAGATCTCAATTTTTCAGAACAAAAGCTTCTCTCGCTATAAATACTATAATACGGGCTTGTGCGCAGATACTTCCCTATCTCGCAGCGGTTTCCTGGATTTTTCCTTCGATCGAGCCCGGCTCATTTTTATCCAATAACCGTGCAATAAGCTCATATTCTCCGATATGTCTAGTCGTTCCGATATTTGAAAATAAATATTTTGATCTCACATTAAAATCGACTAAAAAAAGATCAACTCTAGATCCGTTATATGCGATATTTCGTTAACTTCACAACGGGAAGCTGCTATGTATGCGCGTATTCATCTTGCACAAAAAAAAAGTTATTTTTTTCCTTAATATTATTATTCTTCGTCAAATAAATCCCTCACGCTTATTTAAAGCGCCTCGTAATATCTGACTGGTCTTTGAAACTTATTGGAAATGGATTATTGGATTATTTATTGTGAGCTGTAAAAGAATTTGTAACCTCTCCTAGAACGAGATTTAACACGTCCGCATAAATAAAACTAGTCTGAAACAAATTTGTGCTTTTGCTTAATTTTATTAATTACGCGTCGCACAAGATCGTCGTCGCTCGTTCGCGTTATTATACAAGTTTGTAAATTCCGTCATGAGCTGAATTTTTTCAGAAATCAGATACTAAAAAGCACACAAATGTATATTAATTATCTGCACATAGAAAATAAGCTGCGTATCGTATTCTACTGTTAGTCTCTTCTCGGTGCACATGACGCGGAACTTTATTCGCGTATTAGAGAAAGAGCGCTGTAACGATGACTTGCTCTCTTCGAAACGATAGACGGAGCAAATCGCGTTTGAAGGAGATTATTATTTTCTCGATAGATCCCACGTCGTGCTGAATATTCTCACTCTCTTCCGCAACTTTTTTTTTTATCATTATTAACAAGATTCGATACGGGGGTTGCGAAATGAGAGAAGACACGATAACGTTTCATTGACAATTGGATGACTCGCAAGGTCTCGTTCGACAGATGTGAGAAATTTTGCAAGTCAGTCTCTCTCGAACGAGTTTATTGAACAAGAGATACGCGACGAGATACGCGAAACCGATAGGAATGGGAAATTTGTGCAAGATTGTGTACAAATAGCGCGCGCAAGGTTTTATGCAAATTCGCAAAAATTTGTGAATCGCAGTGCCACTATTTTTTTTTTTTTTTTACGACGCATCAATCGATCGTATCTGCCGGAGCGGGGAATACCCCGCGAAATTGAAATGGCCGCGTCGGAAGATCGCGTCGTCGGCGGCGCGAGAGGGAGGAGAGAGAGAGAGAGAGAGAGAGGAATGCAATTTCTGCCGCGCGACACGAAAATTTTCGATGCCATTTCTGCCGCGCTTCACTATTCGAGGTTACTGAGCCATCGCGCCTATTTCGTAGGATTAAATCTTCGAACGTGCGCGCATACGCGTATATATATTCCGTACTGAATTAAAACAAACGGGATTATACGTGACAAAAATTCTTTCCGCGCCGACAATAACGATTGCGCATTCAACGTTTACGAAATACACCAAGAACGAAACTCTCTCCCGCGTGATTCTGTTTTCTTTTTTTTTTTTTATCGCGCAATTATTCCCGAGAAAGGATCTCTCTCTCTCTCTCTCTCTCTCTCTCTCTCTCGAAGAAACGTTTTGTTTTAATGCGTTTCACAGATTTGATAATATAAAATACGACGATGTTAGAAAATGATGATAGAAAATGTACAATTTGCGGGTAACAATTATTACAATACAGGCGCCGCGTATATTTCAAGACCGCAATTTTATTCACTAATACAATAGCAGAGTCCCGTGAATGCGAGACCCGTATATTCGCGATATCATGTCTGTTAATACAGTAAAATTGCCGCCATTATGCGGAATTATTATGCCGAGCGATGATATTTTTCAGAAACGTCGCGGTAAACGCGGATTTTCCCGTTTAACAATATATATTTCACACGCGCATAGAGGCTTCATAAGCCTTTATCGTGTGAATTATAGCGTCGTTACGGACTATTTACATAGAGAGAATACTCGATGGCACACTCAGGCCATAACGAATGCGTGCCAAATGTGTGACATCGCCTGGCAGAGCCGCGCGCGCTTCCTAAACCGATGTTGTACAACTTGGTGTGTGTACTCAGAGAGATAACTATTTAACAGTAATAACTACACACGAACAACGGAACATGTGTGTCACTCTATAACTTCGGTGAAACTTTCATGCGGCGGCACACAACATTACGTGATATCTACGATCGTGTAGCCTCGGTCAGTTATTAATCCCGCGCAACGGCGTTATCAGTAGCAAGTGCGTCTATGCTCCGCGCTTGTGCCTGCCGAAGAGTAACCCTAGAAATTTGTTATGGATTTTTTCTGTCAAATGTTTAATCCGTATATTTTATTGAGAAATAAGATTATCCGATTCTTTATTAAAAAGAATTTCAAATTTTCATTTGATCGAAAAGTTGATAATTTTTTTGAGATAAAGAGAGAGAGAGAAAAAACATATATTTTGTAATAATTTATAATGGTATTATTTTCTACAAAGAAGTTATTAAAGACGTAGATTAATTCGCGCAAAAATCTTCTTTCTAAAAGTATTGATAATTATGACTTTTTTTTTTTTTTTTAATGCAATTATGAGTACACGAGTTTGCAATAAATGTCCGTTCGGTTTTTTTCTTCTTTCTGTTTTTCTCGTATTTCAAAAGAGACGAGCTCGAAGCTACACACACACACACACACTCTCACTAAGAAGATCTTCAACCGAGCGTATCGCGAACGGACGCTATTTTAGCTACGCGGAGAGCTACGAGTAAAAAGTTGTGATTCTAACTTCATAAGCGAACAAGAAATTGTCATTAGGGTTTAACGCTTCAAGCTGTAGCGCAACAAACTTTTGTTCCCTTAGTAAAAACCTTTTCATGTCGGTGACGCCATTGTAGGCGTCGAACTTAAATTCTGGATGCAATAAAATGAGTGGTAATCTATTTTATGCTTGCTAAGTAGATAGAACTTTGCGTAAGCAAGCCCTGGCGTCGAGAAAATCCCGTATTTTTCTCGACGATAAAAGAATAAAAAAGCCTATCTTTTTTTTGTTCGTTGTTAATCATCGAATCTCAAGAAAAAAAAAAGAAACATTCGCTCCCGATAAAAAGAAAGAAGTATATGCGATTGGAAATAAACGCGACTCCACGTTTATGAGACGGTTTATGAGACAATGTAATGCCAGGTTTTTACATCGATCCGCCAATAGACGACCATAGACGAGCAAACAATCAATTATTATTCCTCTTTTACATGAATATTACAATAACGACTATTGCCGTGCTCGTGCAATTATGTTTTTCTCCGTTTTCTCGCCTAACTCTAAAAATAACAGCGTAATGTCAAATTTGGCCCGTGTAGATAATTTACGCGCGATTAAGAATCACTGAGGAATTTTTTTTGTTTTGTTATTTTTTAGAATTTACGTTGAAAGTAATCAGAAAATCGATATACGTATTTTTAATCGCTGTAATGACAGTTTTTGTTTTATGATGTTTTTTTTTATACGGATCCTATCGTATGCCTGTAGAGTATACGCGCTTCGGTCGTTGGACAATGAGCGACTGGCCGTCGTCGCGGTGGAGATGACTACCAGGTTAGTGGCTCGTCCCGAAGACGACGACGACGACGACGAGGTCCACGAAGAAGAACGAGACCCGGCCGTGGGCTATCACTGCCACTGATAGAGTCGGCATCATCCCGTCGCAGCTCACATCGATGCCGACCGCCACATCCACGAAACGAGGTACGAGACCGTGTCGTGTTGAGAACACGCTGTTAAAGGAACATAAAACTCAAATATAAAAAGAAACACGCACACACATACACATTCGTTTTGAATCGTAAACTATCGGCGCATCTCGGCGTAAATCGCACAGGCAGAGAGTCTTTTACGTCATTTTATCAAGTCAAGAAAAATAAACCAAAGAAGAACGACCCACAAGCGAGGTCGGATGCAAGTTAAAAAATAAATTTTCTTTTTGCGAGAAGTAGGAATATTTTTCTCTGCAAGCATACGAGAAGATGTTGTGCGAATTGTTACAATAAGTTACATAACATAGGAGGGGGTCTTTATTAAGACGGTCGGTCTGAAGGAGGTTTCCAAGTAGAAGAAACGCGCGGTAAGATACGTGGCAAGATAAAATTGTTGGTACAGCGACGGGCGCAAGTGTGTCACTGGGGCAATAATGGGGACTCGATTCGTTATCTTTCATCGCTCTGTTCCCGATTCCATTACCGCGGCCAAAGTAACTAATGAAACAAAAGGGTGAGCGTTCCGTCAACGCGCGCACCGCGCGCGCGTTGTTTAATCATATGTAATAACGGCTAACTATCTTATCGATAATCCTCGCGCCTGGAAACAACACAGGGAAAAGGCAGATAAACGCGAATCAAAATAGGCTCGCTGGTAAATTTAAAAAATTGCGAACCGCTCGCACGTTTGTCTGCGAACGAGAATTTTTTCTAATTAAAATATGTAAAACGCATTGTGTATGTGTGTGTGAAATATTTTTGAGGACGTGTCTTAAAATACAAAGTGTAAAATAACGAGACCGGTTTTTTATAAACGAAAATGGTAAATCCGATTACGTGTTTCCATACGTTTATATCGTATCCGCGAATCTCTCGTGAAATTTAAAAAAAAACTCTCTTAAAAAAAAAAACTCGTCTCTGAATAATCGTGGAATATTTGTGGCTACGCGCAATAGCGGCTTCCTCGTGGAGGAAGCTATCGTGCGGATCGGAACATCGAGATGGTCGTCTCAATCTTGCTCGAGCGTGTGAGGGAGATAGATTGCAAGAATTGTCAGCGGAAAATGTCGAAGAAAGAGATGAACCGGACTGAAGATCGAGGCGGGAGAGTCGGCCGTATTTAGGACTCTTATTGTTCTTCTAGTGGTTGTCACGCATTGACTCGCGATAGATGTGTCTGTGACTTCTTCTATCCGCCATTTGTCCTCTTTTGCCTTTATTCACCTGTAGCCCGCAGTTCTCTCTCTCTCTCCCTCTCTCTCTCTCTTTCTTCGTTCTCTCTCTCTTTCTCTCTCTGTCGTGGGGTGATGCCGAGATCCTTAACGGTGCTTTATCTCCGGAGCTCTCTCCGGCACGCGATCTCCCCTTGAACTTTGATATTTACCTTCTTGCTGCCGGGCGCAGAGATTGACACAGATATGCAACGATAACGATCCCGATGATGCGGATCCGTGGATGCTTGCAATTACACGAGAAATGAATTACGGAAATTCGGAATTGATTTCTAGATTTACGCAACTGTGGGAAATCATCGATTAATTCTCGCATAGATTCGCGAGATCGAGGAATATATCCCTCACTCGCAAGTCAAATACACATGTACGCGATGGTCTCTCGCTTAGCATTCCTAGAATATCTCTAAAGAGACAATGATCTGATCAATCCTTGCGCTAATTTCTCAGCGTTGTGAACACGCGTCGACGTCCGAGCGATTTGAAGAATTCGGTAGGAAACGTGTCTCTCCTGGTGACGCGACAACGAAAATTCCGTCACATTTCCCCTCTCTCTCTCTCTCTTCCCCTCACGATATAAAAGACATCGCGTGAATACTGATTTCTTCGCATTCCCGCGTGTACGCGGAACACATCGTCCGTCTCGCACGTCTATGCACGCGCTGCTTGCGTGTTCATCCGTGTTCCATTTGTCTCTTCCCCGCGGCTATCGATCGTCGTCGAGCGACACCGTGGGGACTGAAACTCTCCGCCGCTACGTGCCCACGAGAGCAGGGTAACCTGTGGAATTGACAGAGCAAAAAGCTCCTTTCATGTTTCCCCCGGAGTTCGGGACGCGTGGAGAGATTTGCAAATTTCGTCCGCCCCCGGCGGCGGCGGCGACGGCGGCGGCGGCACGAACGCTCCGAAATATCTGTTGTATGCAAATCGGCAGCCGCCCGCATGGCAAACGCCGTTTCGCCAACGGCATACGAATCGCCGAAAAGCGATTTCTATTACGCGCCACGCACATGTGAGAGACTCCGTAACCTTAGAATTTAATATTCGCGCGTGTGAACCTACACACACATCGACACCGATCTGAGAAAATTTCCGTCTATACGCGCGGAGTCTATTGACAGACTCTGTATAAACATGTTGTCAAACATATATACATATATGTATATATATATATATATATCTCTCTTTTTCACATTTCCGCAAACTTCTTACTGTCCACTTCGAGTTTCATCTCGGAATGTATTTATATTATGTATTTATATTCGTGATGTTGCGGGATTTTGAAGTTACCGTGAAAAATTTCCGAAGAAATGGGTTACGGGTATAGAACTCGCGCTCATGCAATATTAATAGTAAGTGGAAGCACGTAAAATAAATATGATAGGGGTGGAAAAAGCTGCTTATATTTTCAAATTGAGTAATTTGTTTAATGGGAAACGAACAGGGATACGGAAGGGAGGGAGAGGGAGGAGCGGGGTTGTGGCACAAAGACGTCAAAGAAATACTGTGAAATTTGCGTGACATGAAAATTAATGTTAATTCCAATTTTGTATGCGACTGTTAATTGGATTTGCAGCACGAGAATTATGTCTATTAAGGAAGCATTAACATGGGCGTGACTAAGGCGTAATACTGTTATCACACACCCACACACACACACGTACGACGCGCTTTATGCACGTATGTGTAATATATGTATATATATATATATGTATATACATATATATATACACGTGTAATCGCTTCTATATATATTTTTAAACCTCCGGCGGCACGAGCTAAAGTACACGTAGTTATTGGACGTGCACATCACTTTATTTATAAATAAAATTCGCTCAACACGAAACCAATTAGAGATGTGATATCTGATTTTTGCATCAGCAAAGCCGGATGTCAAGAAATTATCGCGCATTTTCTCTCTCCTCTCTCTCTCTCTCTCTTTTTCTCTCTTCGTGGTGCGCCGACGAATCCGATAGCTTTACACACCAAGGTGAAAAAAAAGTGGAGCAAAACTCTCCTGTTGTCTTTAGCAGTTACATTATAGTCTGAATTTTCCGGAGTGCCTCGCCGAGGTCATGTTTACTCTGTTCTATCGATCGCGGGATATCGCAAATAGAGTATGTAATCTACTTATGAAATCTATGGAGTTATAAGAATAGGCTCTAACTTCGCGCGTACACACACACACACACACACACACACACACACACATTTCGGCATCATTTTTATCCGCTCGAGAGAAGAAACAAAAATACTGTAATTTTTATTATTTGTTACGAGTGTATGTTACATATAAATATATTTTTTGCGAGAAACACACCGTGCGTAAAAGCGACACACAAAACAAAAATTGAAAAACAAAACCTTATGTAATAATGAATGTTATTTCGTCGCGCGCAATAACAGAAGCGCGGTTTAATTAAAATATTACAGAGAGAAAATAATATATATATACATATGTATATACATATACATATATATGTATATATATATATCGAAAAAAAAACATTATGGTATTATTACGGTCAATTCCAAAGAGAGATCTATTGAGAAAATATTATAATTAACGCGAGTCGATCCGCGATATCGATTATTGAAACTGAGCGGTAAGAGAATAATTTTATCAGAACCACATATTAAAATCGTTTGTCGATAATTCCTGCGACGCATTCATGAGCTTCCTTTTCGTCTCATCGATCACATTGCGGTGATGTGCATCGTCAGCTGACTGACATAATTAAAACACATCGGAGTCAGCGATAAAACGTGTTTGTTTTTCAGAGATCGGTGAAAATTCTTCGGGGATATGTAGAAGCGGTGAAAAATCCGATCTCCCCGTTCGTTCCGCTCCGGCGACCGCACCGTTCGAAATTTCGACGTCTCAGTTACGCGCGCGAAAACTCGCTGTCTCATTTCAGTGTTTTACAAATTTCTGTTCGTATATTTTAACGAATATATTTTTTTCGAAAAAGTGAATGTTTCGACAAACGTAATTCTCTCTCTCTTTCTCTCTCTCTCTCTCTCTCTCTCTCTCTTTCTCTCTCTCTCTTTCTAAAACCTATCTTCTAAATCCTATCTTCTCTCTTTAACGTTCTATTAGCAGAGAGTTTAAGTCAAAACATTTTAAAAAATTTTTAACTTACCGCAATCTCCGAACAGAGAAGAGTTTGTTCACTTGCGTGAAGAGCACGTAAAAATTCGGGTAACGGATCGCGCGAGTGACCGCGAGAAAAACGAGAAACGCCCGAAGCGCGACTTTTTTATAGTATCATTTCAGCAGAATATGCGAGAGCCTCTTTTTCGCGTAAATGCGCATCTGAATTCACCACTTGATTTTTCTACGACCTATCTCACAACCCGGTTGAAAATGCACTTGAACGCTCTCTTGCACGATTAATGGATCCGACAATCAGATAAGCACTCTCTCTCTCTCTCTCTCTCTCTCTCTCCTCCGCGAGGAGCGTCTATTATATTTTAGATTTTATGTAGAGCATCGCTTGATTGAACGCAGCTGCTCTTGTTTACTCGTGTTTATGGTTTTTTTGCCCTCATTGCGCAATTCAATTGACATAATTGAAGTCTCGTGTAATTCGGCGCAATTAAGCGCTGCAATTCGTCCTGCGCGAGCACACGCACACGTTAGTGTGTGTATTTCAGTTTATTATATAATATATATGTTATACGTGCATATTACACATTACACAAACCGTAAATTTTATTTAATTTTCTCTATAACGCATTACCAAATTACAGTAAACAT